TTGACAAGCCTGACACAGAATCTCTCTCTTTATCCCCTCCACGCTCACATTTTCCATGCTTCCTGATGTAATAGAGTTGCAATGATGTAAATTTGCTTCGCCACTGTAATATATTTCTGTGGGTGAGGCCGCTATGTAGAAGAATATACAGGTTACGAGGTAAGTAAAGTCACTGATGAAGCAGTATTGGCTCCTTTTTGAAAATGTCACCATGGAAATGAGATTAATAGTAGAACTATTCATTAGAAATCTCACTGTTTCCCCTTTAACACGTACACTTTTTGGCACAGCAGCTTTTTATTTCCATTTAGATCCCAGGTTTCCTAACTGTGGGCATTTCGACCCACAGCACTAAAATGCATTTTGAGGAAAATAATAAAAGGCACAAGAGGGCAGAGAGTTTACACCGTGTTGGGCACGAAGCAAAGATTTTAATGGTATGAGATAGCTTTACCACCAAGGTCAGCTGTGAGTTTAACAAAACCAATGTGTACTCGAGCTGTAATACGGCCACAAACACTCTGCCCTCATTTTCATGTGTATGAATAGAGTTTCTATTTCTTCCCTTTCCACACTTCCACAGCCAACAGGCAGCTATTGTGTTTAAAGTCTCCAATTATCTTGCAAATCTTCTCACAGTGGCTCCAAAAACAGACCATGTGCTCTCAAGGAGAGGAATGTAGGATTTATCATTTGAGTATTTTCAGTGATTGGAGGCAGAGCACATTCATCTTATTTTTCAGTTTGTCTTGGTGCTCCATCATACAGGTAATAAGCATTATTTCCTCAACCAATAATCTAGTTTGGGAAACTTAAGGGAACTTGTTTAAAGTACAGGTAATTGAGAGTAAATATCCAAACTCAGGTTCAACAATTTGGGAAATTGATTTACTCTCTTTTTTTGTGGAGATCTGGAGCACCGGTTTGGCTTTAGGTACTCCATGTGCAGTGGTTGGTGGTTCAACTCCTGACCTCAACCTTGTACTGTATGCCTCTCCTCACTATCTGCTCTCCACATTTCCTGTCATTACAGACTGTCCTCTCTAAATGCCAAAAGTCCCAAGATTAATAGATATTTTAAAGACGTTATGAACAGAGTTGAAATTTTCAGTTTGTGTTCTGCACAGAGGTGAACCTCAGGGAAAATCGACCCAATTAAAGTGAAAAGTGTAAAACTGATATTTTGGCTCTCTCTTGAACCTTTTGTTATGCACCTGGATTTTTGGAAGTATTCAGACACTTCATGTTTTGTGGATAATGCAGACAATTATCCTCTATTCCTTCAGGAACAACAGTTTTTCTTTTCTATTATATACACTTCTGCACAAAACTCAGGTCTTTATGCAGATTGTGAAGTATGATTAGTATGCAGAACACCCGCTATAGTTACCCGCTCAATATCACACTTGACAACCACAGTACTACAACTTTGCCAGACAACAAGTCATAACATCGAGCTGTCATCAGTTAAGATTTAGCCACAGCAACTACTCTATATAAAAAGGTAAAACCACCTTTTGTTTTGTTTTGTTTTCTGAGTTGAGAGTCTGAGCTTGTGTCCTATGAATGGAAGTTGCAGTCTTCACATGAGTGGCCCAGGTTTGATCCAGCCTGTAGTTCCTGTCCCCCATGTCACTCCTTGCCCTTTCCCTGTTTCCTAATCTGTCCACTGCCCTGTCCTCTCCATATAAAGACAGAAAGTCCCCCAAAAAGGAATAAAAGAACCTGTTCCAGCCTGCTTTCTGTTTTAACACTCAGCTAAGCCTAATGGCTCCACTCTTAGAGGCCTGTGTCCACTGACACTAGCAGCACACATAACGTCTACCAGAGTTTATCATGGTGCTCACTGTTGCTAGGCTACAAAAGCTGTGCCACAACACTTCCACTGTCCTTGAAAGTGACCATACTGTCTCCACACACCAAGTGCGAGTATAATCATTGGTGCGACTGAATAACATTTTGGGTCAATGCAAAGACGCGATTAGAAGCTCATACTACTCTGCCGGCGCAAATGACACGAACTGGGCAGGAGCTGAACATGACTCAATTTGAGCGGATATTCATGTAGCGATAACTAATCAGCATGAAGGTTGACGTATGAAAACGGACAGTTGTTCACTGATATCTAAAATGGAGGACAAACTGATTGTGTCAGTGTGTGCGTACCCAAATTATATGATACCCTTTCTTTCAATTACCAAAACTGGAATAAAAAGGACCTTGCCTAAAGACAAGTGAGTGAGGAGGTTGGATTACCTGGTAAATTGTAAAAAACCTTTGTCTATCACTTGATCCCGCCAGTTGAATTGGCAGGGATTACCATTGAAATTACGCACAAATGATACCAGTAAATACTATTCATTCATGCATCTAAATTGGTGTGAGTGCCTCATTAAAGTCTGTTTTGCTCCAAAATTTCTTTTATTTAATAAAATTTACTGGAGGAAAAGGTAAAATAAATCCATGGAATCAACGTCAAAGCTTATATAGACCCGGAAACCATCCTGTCCATTCTTCACTTGATTGGTCGGAGATCAAGCATTGGCACAGTTAGGTGAGGTGGCAATCCAAAAGTTAAATTCTTTTCAACTTAGAGCGCTCAAAATGATGGACTGAATTGGTTTTGTGTAGAAAACAGGCCCCGCCAGCACAAAATTCACTGTCAGTGGACACAGGCCCTAAAGCTCTTCTCTTGTTTGTGGCGTTTTTTTAAACTTCTACCTTGAGATTGATCTTGTTCCTTCACTGATCTTGCTCTGTGTGAGTAATGCCCTCTGATTGAAATAATAATAATCATTAGAAGAAGAAAAAAAAAGCAAACAACTTAATTATACCTCTTGTTGAATGGTAGGGGTTGGTGTAAAAAAAGGAAACAAAAGAAAATCTAAAGCTTATTCGAGGAAAGTAAAATACCTGTCTATGATTTCAGAACAGGACAAAGTGAGTTCTGATTGCAGGATGTCAATTTGACATTTAATTGCAATATATCAGGTCTTTTTTTATTTAGTCTTGAAATGATGAATACAAACACTTTCAAGGCCAGTGTTTGTCAGTGAATTTGAATGACAGCAAGTATAATTATATATTATAATAATAATTGCCAAGACTGTTTTGGCAGAAGAGACATTCAACAACAAAAATACTCTGCCACAACTCAATGACAAAGTTAATTAAAAAAAACACTCTCCAGTCTGTAACAACCTCTTTCCCTGGCTTTATCCAAAATGCACACACATGCCACAAACCTACAATCAGAAAACAATGCAGCAACAAGTCCTGAGATTTCAATACTTGTGTACATGCCTCGTGCAGAGGTGCTATTTCCAGTGCGCTTAAGCTGCCAAGCTATATCCTTATCTCTCCAAGCTGCGAGTGTTCGTGCATCACACAAAGGATTGTAAAAATGCTTTATGGCATCTTCTGAAACACTGACCTTTACAGGAAAGCAGTGATGTGTTCAAAACAACATGATATACTGTGTGCATGTGAGAGACTTCACACTGTGTGTGCACATGGTCACATGTGTGTGTGTGACGTGATGAACGGCCGGCGACATTCTTCCCCACCAGCTATCATTAACTTTGATGCAGAGCCAAATGTCGTTCTGTATGGTCGGCTGCATGATTTACTGTAACAGACATATAATGGAGGAGTGGCTACTGTAATGAACCTGCTGTGTGTTTGACGCTCGGGTGAGGAAGGTAAATACAACTAAGAGCCTGAAAACACAAATTAGGCTAATGTGAATGGTAATGATGGTGATGATGATGATGATGATGATGATGATGATGATGATGGCAATGATGATTGTGATGAAATCCCCCTCCTCTCTTGAAGATGTGAGTTTTTCAAAGGGAGGAGGAGGAGGAGGGAAAAAGAGCAAACAAAGAAAAGGGGGGAGATGAAGGAAGCAGTTCCTAGAGATGAAGGAGAGAGCAGGAAAGGAAGGAAGGAAGTAAGGGGACCAATTACAGGCTGCCACTGAAGCAAACTTTGATGTTTTGACAGGCAGCCACTGCTGGAGGGAGAGAGCGTGAGTGTTGAAGATGATGATAATCAATGATGATGACACCGATGATGGAAGAGTCTTTAGAGTCTTTTATTATTAAAGATCTGTGAGGTATTGTGGTCAAACAAGGACACCCCGCTTGACAACATCCACCCTGTCCTAGTGTCCTTAAGCTGCGTCTCTTATATTACTTAAGGATGATGACTGAAAGGAATGTTTTATTCTGAGATTATGGAGTATTATACTACCACTACACAACTCACAGCAATGTGAGAGAGGAAGAGCAGAGCAAGAAAGACAACAGGATTGAGTATGAGTAAGGGTTGAACAGATAAAAAGGAAATCACTGAGGGGTATGTTGGACCTTTAATGCCCCCTGACCCCCCTTCCACACACACACGCACACACTCTCTCTCTCTCTCACACACACACACACGCACACTCTCTCTCTCTCTCTCTCTCACACACAAACGCACACGTACACTCTCTCTCACACACACACACACACATGCGCGCACACTCTCTCTCCCTCTCACACACACACACACACACACACACACACACACACACACACACACACTGTAAACAGAAAATTATGTCTGTTCTCTGGGAATTTTTCATAAAACAACATTGTATAAATGTCATGTGCTTTAAATGTTCATTCATACCCCTATGCACCTCAAACGGTCCTGTTTTTCATGTCACCCTTATAAAAATAAACAGCAGTTTTCTATCATCCAAACACAGTCTAACTCTGCCCCCTAATGGCAAACACCCTGAAGTACCTCATTCTTAATTTTTTTTACCCCACTATTGCACTATTGAGCTGTAACCTGCAGAATTGTACAAATGACTTACAGTAAAATCTGTGCAACATGCATCCTAAGTAAAGTAACCTTGTCCTCAGTCTCGATGTAAGCATGTAACTGAAACATAACTGGCTTTTTAAGAGTTAAGGTCAAAATAACAGAACGAGTCATGTACTCAGAGACAGAATTGCAAAAAAAAAGTTTATTTTGAAATGTATAAAAATTAAGATTTTTGGTTTTGTTCCTGGATATAAAAAGGCAATGACTTAAAAAGGTCCTTCACATGACGAGAAATCCTCATGAAAACAAGAATTTATCTACATTTGAGTGCAGAATCACCGTCTTTTGGCTTTGCAGCAAGTGTTTGTTCCAGTGTAAAATGTACTGACATGTAAAGTGCTTTGTTCAATCTCTTTTCATCTATTACATTAATATTTCCATTTATTACAGGCACTCTGAGGAACTCTCATGTAGTGTTCATTCACGAAGGCAGCATTTCTGCATGAGCACCACCTCCCATGGTTGAAGAGATCAGGCTTTGGCCAAAGTGTTTGTTTGTTGTAAAAGCAAATAAAGGAACACATAATCTCCTTATAATACTACTTTTCTTTCAAGGTAAGAGATAGTTGAAGAAATGTGTTGAATTGAAGCTACACCGTATTATTATCGTAGCAAATTCACAAAACTTTGTAACTGTGTTGCAGTTGATCTAATTTTACCATGTAGGTCATAAAGATGCATCAGTGTAAGAGTCACGCTGAACATAATCAGTTAAAAGTCCTCAAAGTGCCTTAAAAGTGACCAAAATTTACGCAAAAAACATATTTTTTTAAACTTCAGTTTTACAGAAATTCAAGTCTTTGAGTTTCACTTCATTTGTAGAGTCAACATAAGTCACCGGCCACTTTATTAGGTACACCTGTCCAACTGCTCGTTAACACTTAATTTCTAATCAGCCAATCACATGGCGGCAACTTAGTGCATTTAGGCATGTAGACATGGTCAAGACAATCTCCTGCAGTTCAAACCGAGCATCAGTATGGGGAAGAAAGGTGATTTGAGTGACTTTGAACGTGGCATGGTTGTTGGTGCCAGAAGGGCTGGTCTGAGTATTTCAGAAACTGCTGATCTACTGGGATTTTCACGCACAACCATCTCTAGGGTTTACAGAGAATGGTCCGAAAAAGAAAAAATATCCAGTGAGCGGCAGTTCTGTGGGCGGAAATGCCTTGTTGATGCCAGAGGTCAGAGGAGAATGGCCAGACTGGTTCGAGCTGATAGAAAGGCAACAGTGACTCAAATAACCACCTGTTACAACCAAGGTAGGCAGAAGAGCATCTCTGAACGCACAGTACGTCGAACTTTGAGGCAGATGGGCTACAGCAGCAGAAGACCACGCCGGGTGCCACTCCTTTCAGCTAAGAACAGGAAACTGAGGCTACAATTTGCACAAGCTCATCGAAATTGGACAATAGAAGATTGGAAAAACGTTGCCTGGTCTGATGAGTCTCGATTTCTGCTGCGACATTCGGATGGTAGGGTCAGAATTTGGCGTCAACAACATGAAAGCATGGATCCATCCTGCCTTGTATCAACGGTTCAGGCTGGTGGTGGTGGTGTCATGGTGTGGGGAATATTTTCTTGGCACTCTTTGGGCCCCTTGGTACCAATTGAGCATCGTTGCAACGCCACAGCCTACCTGAGTATTGTTGCTGACCATGTCCATCCCTTTATGACCACAATGTACCCAACTTCTGATGGCTACTTTCAGCAGGATAATGCGCCATGTCATAAAGCTGGAATCATCTCAGACTGGTTTCTTGAACATGACAAAGAGTTCACTGTACTCAAATGGCCTCCACAGTCACCAGATCTCAATCCAATAGAGCATCTTTGGGATGTGGTGGAACGGGAGATTCGCATCATGGATGTGCAGCCGACAAATCTGCCGCAACTGTGTGACGCCATCATGTCAATATGGACCAAGCTCTCTGAGGAATGGTTCCAGCACCTTGTTGAACCTATGCCACGAAGAATTGAGGCAGTTCAGAAGGCAAAAGGGGGTCCAACCCGTTACTAGCATGGTGTACCTAATAAAGTGGACGGTGAGTGTAAGTCATTATATTGTGCAAATTAATTTAGGTTAAAGAAGGTTTCTCAGATGAGGCAAATAACTTGTTGAAAATGCACTAAAAGAGTCTGCAGATGAGGTTTTTACGCTATTAGTGCAGCCCTAACCTTAGAGAGTCTAATCCTTATAATGTAAAAAGCTCTTGAACGCACCCTGAACTGTGAAAAGGGCAGTAGTGTATTATTAATGACAATGTGATAACCCTGCTGTGGATTCAAAAGGAGCTTCACCAAGCCCAGGCTGTTTTTTAAACTTTTAAAGACAGTCTGGCGGCTTTTTCCATTAAATATTTGTCATGTCCTCTTTGCAGCCACAGAATGGAAAAGTCCCACAGCATGGCTGCAGCCAGGGTCTCCACAGAATCTTATCCCACGTCATCTGGCTCTGAACACTGGGAGCGTCTGTGCTGGACTTTAAAAAAGCAGCATCAGACTCCTGTATATTAGTGAACGTGTTTCTATGGCTCTTTACAGCTTTTACAGTCTGTTCAAGGATTTCTGTGTATCTTGGCTCAGTATCAGGGGTCAGCGGGCGAGACTCAGAGGGGTCGTGGAAAAGGTCGTACAGGAGAGGTGGGTTGTGGTGTGTTACATATTCCCCATGGCACAGACAGACCTTAGTGTCGTAGCATCCACCAGCCCCAGGAGGAGAAAAGTTGGGGGTGAAAAAGTGCGCCTTATAGATGGAGTCACCTGGGTAGAAAACCACATCAGGAAAGGTTAATAGAACATAGTGTTAGATTTTTTCAGGCTAAACCGCTTCTTTTTTTAATTTTTTATTTTCAGAGCTACTGTGCTGAGAGAAAGAGGTCATTAATAAAAGATTTTAACTTGTTAAGGTACAAGAACTGGCTTAAAATGGAAAGTGGATCTATCTGTGAATATTTAAAACACTCTAAGTAATAAAGTAATAGGACAAGAAACCCTTACAAATCATCACGTACCAGTACATCGACATACCCAGCTTATTTCTAAATAGACAACACATAAGACTATGTTTTAGTAATTTAACCTCTTAGCTATAAAGGAATATAAAAACCCTACAGCATTCACACTCACTGTTTTTCTCTCCCGATTCTGTTTTCCAGTGCCTTAAAAAAGTATTCATACCCCTTGAAATTTTTCAAATTTTGTCACTCTACAACCACAAACTTAAAAGTATTTTATTGATTTTTATAACCTAACCCTGCTATAAACTTCTCCACAACTTTTCCCCTGACCTGTCTGGTGAGTTCCTTGGTCTTCATGATGCTCTTTGTTGACTAGTGTTCACTAACAAAGCACTGAGGCCTTCACAGAACAGTTGTGTTTATGCTGATACTAAATTACACACAGGTGGACTCTATTAACTAATTAGGTGACTTCTTAAGGCAATTGATTGCACTGCATTTTATTTAGGGGTATCAGAGTACAGGGGGCCTGAATACAAATACACACCACACTTTTCAGATTTGTATTAGTTTACATTTTTCAAAACCACGTGTCATTTTTGTTCCACTTCACAATTATGTGCTAATTTGTGTTGGTCTATGACAAAAAATCTCAACAAGATACTTTTAAGTTTGTGGTTGTAGAGTGACAAAATGTGAAAAAGTTCAAGGGGTGTGGGTACTTTTTCAAGGCACTTGAAATAAAGGTGATTAATGTAAAATATTTTGGTATCCTCTCTTGTCAAATGTACAGCTAACAGTCTGGTTCTTGATTCTGACATTAAAAAAATAAAAAATTCATATTGAAAAAATGTATTTGTATTTTTTTTTTTTTTTAAGTGGTTGGAATTCATTCACACAAGTAAATACAGTGGACATGTTTGTTGTGTAGCCACTAATACATAAATTGAGACTTAAAGAATCCATAAAGGCTCATTAACTTAAAACATGGTTGTGATACAGAAAGGACATTTGAAGAAATCTTCATGACAGTGCATCACAAAAGTGTCAAAAGGTGCACACTAGAGTCTAACTGCTCATGTCCAATAGGTGGAACTACTGCTGTGATAAAAAAAGCTGTGCCAGGCTGTGCCATCATCAAACCTGTGATACTTGAAGGAAACAGATACAGTATATGAAAGTGAATGGCCTGTATTTCCACAGGGTGGCGCTATGATTGCAGTAGATAAATGGGCACATAAACATACTAAGGCGCAGACCTTGAAATATCAAAGTGATATTGTATGACTGAGTTATAAGGACTTCCTGAAACATCAAAGCCCGATAACTGTCAACAACACACTGCAGGACGTTGGACCTGATCGAACAAAAGCTGGAGGACAAGTTCATCCAAATTTGCACACAGGCAATCAAATTCATGAAATTAGGTTTAGGAAATTGGTGCAAGAGGATTTTTTTGTAGGTTTCAGCATGATAGAGGGGTTTCTCCAAGAGACGAAGTGGACCCCAGCTGCTACATGTGGCAGAAGCAAAGTCTCTCATTCAGCACCAGGGCATTGTGGGCCAGAAGGGGATTTGGCCTGGAAGATACAAGACCTTCTTGGCAAAAGGCTACACCATCTGGATGCCAGCTCTTGGTGCTGGGAGAGGTGCATTGTCGAGAAGAGGCAGACAGGTGTGCCAGAGCCACATCCCAAGCCAAACAATGCTGCTGGCTGAAGAGGGATGCAGCAGAGAGGAGGAAGGACACACGAACAGAGCTGTGAAGCATGGAGTCAAACATGCTGAGCTTCATAATCAAGGCCACATATGACGTTCTCCCCTCACTTGCCAGGTAAATCTCTGGCTGGGACGGGATCCAGCTTGTCCACTATTTTCTGTCTCTGCAACTCTCAATCCCATTTTGGTAAGTTTTAGGACCAGAGTGACACAAGGAAGACACACCTGGCAGCACTACAAAGTACTGAAGTGCTTAGCAGCTGAACTTGAGACAGTGAAGAGCCTTGAATGCTGTGTCTCTCAAAACAAGTTCCCAAACTTGGACACAGAGGAAGAGAAGCGTGGGTCCTCTCAAGTCCACTGCTCAGAGCCAGGGACTGAGGAATGTGAGCTGACTTGGATCACAGACTCATATTTCCATCTGAAACCGTATCAACCAACTTGACACAACTATCTGATCCTCTGGTTGGATTGCTGATGTGCCTCCAGTGGAGGTGGGTGGAGGCACAGTTTTGCCACTTCCATCATAAGGCTCCTGGTGGAGCTAGGATTTAGAGGTCAGGCTCAATGGAAAACATCTGATGCCCTGACTAAAGTGCAGTCACTGGCTGTGGCTGGAGAAGGGCAAGCCTGTCTGGACTGACGAGAGTGAAAAACAACCATGAGACACAAAACCCAGGTCTGATCAGCCTGTTGGGGGTCTGCCTTTGCTGAGGGTGTTTAATGTTAAATGACTGAAACACTTGGTGATGTGGTGCTGAACTGATAATGAGTCTTTATGGTATAGATTCATCTGTTGGACTTTTCTTATAACTTCATTCTGCCAGATAATGTGCTGGTTCACCAAATAAAACTATCTACTAAACCTGACAGAAATCAGATACGTAAGTGGCAGGGTGAATGTTTGAAAACTGGAAACTGGGTGGGGTCTGAGACCATTTTGGAGCGTGTGCAAAAAAACAGAATGTTTTGGGGCATGTGGGGACTCTAAATCTGCAATCACTGAGGCAAAAGGATGGAACAAAGGGAGGAAGGAAGGAAAGAAAGAAGGAAGGAGGGAAGACAGAAAAAAGGTAAGCAGGGAAAAAAGGAGAACATACAGGAGAAAAGAAAGGAAGTAATGAGGAAAGAAAGGAGGAAAAGGAATGAAGGCAAACAGGAAAGAGGAAAAAAGAGAAAAATGGAAAAGAAAGAAAAGAAAAAAGAATGAAAGGAAATAAAGGAAGGAAGGATAATAGAAAAAAGAAGGAAGTAAGGACATAAATAAAGGAATTAGAAAGAAAGAAGGGATGAAGACTGATATAATGAATGACAAAAAGAAGGAAAGGAAAGAAAGGGAGAAAGGAAGGAAGACAGAAGGGTGGAAGGAAAGAAATAAGAGGAGGATAAAAGGAAGGAAGGAAGGAAGACAGAGAGGTGAAAGGATAAAAAGAAGGGAAAGACAAAAGGTATAGATAAAAAAGGAAGGAGGGAATATATGAAGGAAGGGAGGAAAGAAAAAAGAAGAAGGAAGGGAAGAAAGGAAGAAAAGAAGGAAGATATGCTGAAAGAAAGACAAAAGAAAGAAGGGAGAGAGGGAGCAAAGAAGGAAGGAAGAAAGGAGGGAAGACAGAAAAGAAGAAATGAAGTAAGTAAGGAAGGAAGGAAGACAAAAACAGAAAGGACGGAAGGAAGGAAGGAAGGAGGGAGGAAAGGAAGGAGGGAGGGAAAGAGGGCAGGAATGAAGAAATAAAGTAAGACAAATAAAGAAACTTAATGTGGAGGACTTCACTGTCTGGCACTAACAGTCAAATCTGTGTTTGGTGGACGCCCAGAGAACAGTAGCTACAGGAACACAAGGAGCTGTTTTCAGGGTTTTGGAGGTGGTCCCCTAGTTTCACTGAAAGGTCTTCATAAAACTATGACATGGATTTATAAATGATGCGTGGTAATACTGGGTACCTGATCTGACAATGGCTAAAGGGGACATGTCAACTTTTAGATGCAGCTCTCAGACATAACCCCTTAACCCTTGTAGTTATTTTGTCAAAAACACTCCAAAGTAGTAGTTTGACGCCCCTTAGTGTCAACATGTGTGAACTTACTTTCAGGTGGGTGCCAGCGTACTGCATTCAGGTAGATCCCACAGTAGTGGAACATGAACTCATGCTCTGATCGCTCTGCTTTCCCCTCCAACAGCGGCATGAGGTTATGGCCGTCTAACAGTCTGGGAGAAATGTACAAGTCAGAAAAAGAAAGAGGATAAAAAAGCCTAAAAATTAAGAAAAGCAACATTAATACAGTAGATTATGACCTTTCAGTGCATGATAAACTATCTCACAGTGTTACCATCATATTATCACTACTGTATTAAGAAACATAATGATCTCAGACAAAGCAGAACACAGGCTTATTATGTCAGGATGAAAAATTAGAGGATAAGTTGTTTATGTTCACCACACTGCTTTCTTAATTGGCTTCATTTGTTTCCAGCATAAAATCAAGAGTTACCATCTGGCTACAAAACACTTGATTGTGTGCAGGTTTGTAGTTATTTTATGGCACTTTCTCCTCTCCTGATTGTTTTATAGAAATACAGAAATGTTTCAACCTTTCTGAGGATAAAACTGCGTAAAGAGTTTACAGCGTACAAGCATGAACACATACGTGAGTGCTTACCTATCAGGTTGTGTGTCCTTGGCCAAATATTTCAGTGTTGGATACAGGTCCATGAGGCTGGTGGGTTCTTCCACAACTCGACCTGCTGGCAGCTTGCCAGGCCAGCGGAAAATACCAGGCACCCTGATCCCGCCCTCCCAGCCACCCATAGCTTTCCCACCTATAGGTCAGATATTACACAACATAAATACCTCTATTATTGCAGTAAATGCAGTACAAACACTCCTTATAGCGGTCATTTGACCTATAGACCCAAATAGTCACTCACACTACTGTCCTAAAATGCTGCTGGGAACAGTTTTCACGTCAGTTATTTTACAAATCGAAAACTCAGGGGAAATCTTCAACTACAACAGTTGCATCAAAATTTACTACTAGGTTAGAATCATTTACAACAGAACAAAACAAACAAAAATGGTGTACCTTTATAGATACCATTCCAGCCTCCTTTCTGGCCAATTTTTGAATCAGAATCCTCCAGGTGTCCACCGTGATCAGATGTAAAATACATCAGAGTGTTGTTGGCTAAGCCCAGGGAGTCCACAGTCTCCACAAGTTGACCTAAAAGACATATTCATGTGTATTAAATTTGATGCAGGGATAAAAAGTCTATTGAAGACGAAGGTGACGGTGAAATGTTCATGACTTACTTCCTATATGGATACAGAACAATTCTGTGCTATGTTTTATTTTGCGACAGCATTGTCATTTCTGGGGGCTGTTTTAACCGTTTAACGCTTGGCTGTCTAACTAATCACCCAGTCATGTTAAATAATTAATCCTGATTGGTCCAAACCCTGTCACAACAGTTTTATAATTCTGAATAGCAACAGTAAGCTCAGCAACAACCTGGTCAACCAAGCCATTCTGGGAAAAGAAGTTTGTCACATTTAAGGGCTTCATGATTTTACCTCTTCCTGTTGACATTGTGACAAATATGTTAATTTCAACAGCACCAGTAAACAACATGGAGGACGGTATCATTTTCAATATATTTGGGGGGCACTTAACATTGGATTGGGGGTCTGTGGGTGAAGAGTCACCAACAGAGAAAAGAAGATGAGAAAAAGCAAAGGACTGTAAAGCACACATGGGGCTCAATGACAGAGGTGTTGACCAAATTACAGAAAAACAGCCACAAACTGTTGTTTTCTGCATCTCAGAATAAGAAGAACTTTATTCATTTGAAGTAAATTTATTTACTTTATTTGGAATTCATTTCAATTTCAATTTATCTGTTAGAAATAAAGCAGTATAATGACAGAAAATCATGAGTATAATGTCAATTTGACCTGAAAGCAGGCTGATAAGAAAACTATTGCCATGAAAGTGCTATCAGAGGCAATAGCTATTTTCAGCTGCATAAATAAATTATCATTCAATCCATAAAATAATACCTTATATAAATAGTCTGTGTCGACTTGTTTGTATCTTTAGTGTGTGGCTGGATAATGAGCAGGTTTAACTCTGCTTCTGATCGGGGTCTTGACTCAATCTGAAATTCTTTCTTTCATAACCACTTGCTCCTGTGTACTTGGTAACCACTCAAACTAACCTTCCACTCAGTGTTTCGAGTGTAAAAAAGCATGCCAGTGTACTAACCAATGATCCAGTCCATTTCTTCAAGGTTGTCACCGTAGCGACCATGGCGGCTTTTGCCAGCAAAAGCCGGGGTTTTAAAGAGTGGCACGTGAACATGAGCCATTGAGAAAAAGAGGAGGAATGGCTGATCCACATTTCTGAGAAAGACAGGAAAAAAAGGGGCGAGGAAAGAAATACAAAGAAATGTAAAACCTCAGCATCTTAGCGATGAAAAAACAGAAAAAGGCTGTGTGACTGCTCATATTGTCAACAGGACATGATTCTTTAATCAGTCCTTCATGCACTCATTCTACCCATGTCCAAAAGACAAACACCCCAATCCTTAACCACAGACTGACATTTTTCTGTTAAGAATTAAAAATGATGCTCTTCGCTAAAATACTGTCATGAAATAAACTGACAGAACAACAATACTGACAAAATCTAGCTTTAAATTTAGAGTTCATGATATTTCCAAACACTCTTTAAGAAACATCAGCTGCTTTCATGTGATTAAAAAAAACAATACCACTCCAAACTGACACAATTTCACACGTATTGACTGTGTGCTTACTCAGACAGTTATTTAAACATGCATGTTATGAAACTGTAAACATGAAGTTACCCGGAGGGGTGTGTTGTGGTTGTTCCGTTTTCTTCACCAGAAAATAGTTTTCAAAAAAAGCTCAAACCACACATCATTCCTACCTCTTTATAAAGTTTTGTGCCTCTCCCAGCAGCCTCTGGGGCACAGTCTCCACTGTCATCGGCTGCTCGATCACTTCCTGGTTCCTCATGAGGATGCAGTTCCATCTTGATAAGAATTTAAGAGGGATACACCACAATGCGGTTGCTAGGATACTGAGAGAAAACAGAGCTACCAGGAGACGCAGGTTGATGTCAAAGAGACCAAACACACGGACACACACCTGTAAATAGAAAGTAGACACACACAATATGTGCGAATGAACACACTGCTTTATAGTATACAGATACACTAAGATACATATACACTCGTCATGTACCAACACTATGATTTCCAGAACCTAAGGATCTGTTTAACGGCTGTTACACTGTTAAGCTGAGATATAATTACATTAATTTGCCACTAGATGGCATCACAGACCATTTTCAAAGACCTTGTTAATTTTGTGAAACAAGTAGCACATTGTTTACTTTCTCCAAGGAACAGTACTCCCTTTAAATTCAGATCTGAACATGGTTTTATGGACTTCTCTCTTCTTGCTGGGAACTCTTACGTCATGGACTTCTCTCTTTGGTGCTCTATGATCTCTCTTCTTTTGGGGAAATTTTCCATTTCCTAATGTTTTTACATTTGCTGAGACAAAAACAGCTTTCTTTGCTCTGCTGTCTTTCTAAATTAAATACATTTTGACAGGGATTAAGTGCATCCCAAGAGTAAAGACACCAGCATGAAAAGACCAGAGATGACTGAACACATCTTTCTAAAAATCCTAAAGAATAAATCATCTTCAGTGTTAGAAATGATCATTTACTAAATCAACATACTTCTATTTTTGGGAGTTTCCAGAAAAAACATGAACTCTCGAGGGCTTTAAACAAGCAGAAGTGAAAAAGCCAAAAGTCTTTTTTAAGGGAATTTTGCAGTGAATTAAAGTAAATTTAAGGGGCAGCTTAGTCCAACAGGGTTTTTAGTGCCACATAAAACTCTACCAAAAAAGGGTCTTATCACTCTCAAATTATATACCAGCGGTTGGCTTCCTGAAATCCACACTGACTCCAACATTTGGCGACCCCTTCAGAAAACTGTATTTCTGCTACGGTGTCATGAAGAAACAAATGAAACACTTCCACCCAAATTCACGCCACATGTGAGAGATTTTACAGTAGTTACACACATCCAGCCAGCCTCATTCTGCCTCTTCCATACAAATGTGCAGTGTGTGTGTTTTGTATGTGTTACCTGTTGCACAGCTGGTTTCCATTCACTGCTCCATTGTGGAAATCTCACTGTGTTTCAGTTTCGACATTTCTCTGCTATCCCCTAAAACAGGTTTCTGGCTGACATGACAGAGTTTCACAATCACAGCTTCTGTTCCCAATCTGTTTTTTTTTCTTTTTTCTAGCCTGTGGCTCATGTCAAAGTGATTACGCATGAGTTATTCTGCTTTAGGGTGAACGGCACAGCCACGCTTTGTTTTCCAGTTTCTTCTTTTTTTGGTGGGCAACTCACGAGGATTGTCCGTTGTGATATATTGCAACTCAGAAAGCTCTCATACTAGCTCTCTTTATATGTCAGGCATGCTTTTATCTATTACATCACACTTACCAGTGTAAAAAGTCCAGCTCCGAGCATCATGGTCAGATTTTGGAGCGTGTGCTGGAGGTCTGCCAGGACATCGCTCCCTTCTCCGGACACACAGTCATTAAAGAGGGTGAATGGCAGCCCGTAGTAGTAGCTAAAGCCATGCTGGTTTGGATGATGGCAGTGGTCTCCTCTGTGCTCACAGTTCACACCTAGATGCCACTTGCCTGCAGAGACAGGAATTTGGATACAAGTCAGACTTCCAGCGTGAAATTGTTCCATTTCAACAAAATAAAAAAACAAATGGTTTGCTACCAATGATGCACCAAATTACATTTAAATATGTCTGTTTATGTGCTAGTATTTGAAAAAAGCACTTTCCATTCTGTTTACTCACACCTAGCTGTGTGTACATATTGACATACTAACCCAGCTTCAAGCCCTACTCGAAGGAAACTATAAACTATGAAAGCCGCCATTAGAGGAGAGAGGGGTAAGATGAGCCATTTTTCATATTTCAGATCACTACATCAAGGCAATCATAGTTTTGTCTCTAACTAGTGTATCTGCATATATTTCAAGTTGTTGTGCATCCCTGCAAACCAACAGAATGGGTGTAAACATAACTGTCTTGATAATCTAGCATGCCAAAAAAAAGTGGTCCTCTATGGTCAACTTACCCTGTGTATGGGGTAACCTTCACAGACTCCATGAATTGATGCCCATCTCCTAAATATTTGGTCACATGATCAATTCCTTTTATGACAATGATCTCTTTCACATGCGCACTCCTGACCAAAGCTAGAAATAATCAGCAGCTCTGCATCCAAACTTACAAAGCTGCTTGTTTACACGTCTCCAGTGTGTAAAGTCCAGTTTGATAAGGGATTGATTTGTAGGGGCAGAACATGATATTAATAGCTCTCTTTAGCAGCTACAATGTACTATGTCGGTGAATAAAGCAAAAGATTCCACGCTATGATGACTGATTTAGCATTTATACCATACCAATATATATACTTTAGACCAATATATAATTTATATAAATGCTACATATACAAATGTGCAAATGCCATTACTACTCATGCCTTTGTCTCTCTTCAGCCTCGTAAATCTTTATTCCTCCTGTCATATGTTGTTCTCTTGGTTATACTATGCTTATACTAAATCTGCTTTCCCACATTGACTCATCCATGTGGGCAAATGATGGATAGAGATAAGATAGGGGAGAGTGGGGTAAGATGAGCCAAAGGGTTAGTTGAGCCACCCCCTGTTGCTTGGAAAAGGTAAAAGAAATTGATCATGTGACCAAATATTTAGGAGATGGGCATCAATTCATGGAGTCTGTGAAGATTAGAAGCACATGGGTAAAGGGCTTAGACATTTATTTCCAAAAAACATTTTTCATTCTTGAATGTGAATTTAGTCTGTCATAAGTTTTATTAGAATTGTGTTCAAAAACCTAGCATAAAAGTCCACCATTTTAGCTTAAAGGACTAATAAAGTCATCAAAGTAGTTCTGGGGTAAGTTGAGTCAGTGACTCAACTGAGAAAGTAAAGGAATATGATGAGAGGATCAGAGTTTCAGTTCAGATTGTTGAAATGTGTTACTTTTTCTTTTCAAAGATACAGCTGTGAATGTTCTGAATCACTTAAAGACATTCTCATGTTAAAATGGCTTTTTACAAAACAGCTCTTTAGCAGTTATATGTAAGAAAATAAAAAAAATTATTGTATCAATGGTCAACTTACCCCATACACTGGTTAAGTTGACAATAGGGGACCACTTTTTTTTGGCATGCTAGATTATCAAGACAGTTATGTTTACACTCACTCTGTTGGTTTGCAGGGATGCACAACAACTTGCAATATATGCAGATACACTAGTTAGAGACAAAGCTATGATTGCCTTGATGTAGTGATCCGAAATATGAAAAAAGGCTCATCTTACCCAATTCTCCCCTACATTTTATGCATGCACACTATACTGAAGATTTCATCACGTTTTGAATTTTGTACCACTGTTTTCTCACCCACAAGACCAGTGGTGTATCCTTGCTGCTGCAGCCTCTTTGCAAATGTAGTCTCAGTTGGTGGCAGCCCTCCTGAACCACCCAGAAACAACAGCACCTGCACACGACCCGTGCTGCCCAATCCTGTGCAGCATCAAAAATAACAGGTATCAAACAATAAAATCTGTGAAACAACATAAAACAACGTTCCTGTCTGCCATAGATGAATTGGTTGAAGAGTGCATGCTACCTGAGCGGGCTGCATAGCGCCCCGTCATGAAGGCAGCTCGGCTAGGAGTGCAGAGGGGAGCTGCTGCGATGTGCTGAGTCAGCTTTACTCCTTCAGAGGCTAGTTTATCTACATTTGGAGTCCTGCCGGGAAAACGGGAGTAAATAAGTTTAACAGTGACAGAAATGTAAAGTCACAAACAGGGTAGGGTGATGACAAAAGACACGGTCGATTTAGGAAGCGAAAATGGAGAGATTAGAAGTAGCAGTAGAAGTTGTTTATTCAGTCAGTCATGACAACACCAAATATTGTACACAATATTGACAGCTTTACAAACTATTTTCTTAAAAACCAAAAAAAGAATGACATGTTTTTAGATTGATGTTGGCATCATTCCAGAATTTAACTCCAGTGACAGAGACACATCTCCTTTTCATACCTTTTTTAGCTTTTTATACAGTAAATTTGCAGGCACCGCTGAGATTATACGGACTGTCCTAAATTAAAAAGAACCTCGGTATTGAGTCAGGGAGCATTTTAGATTTTGCTCTAAACATTATTTGCATTATTTTATAATAGAACAGATCATAAAATTTCATTACATGAGAATTTAGAAAAAGTGGCTCTGTGTGATCATAGTAATTAGTCTTACTGATAATACGTATAGCTTGTTTGTGCAGTTTTATTATTGAATTTATAATGGTTTTAAAGGTAGATCCCCACAGTTCCACACAGTAAGATATAGGGACTAATCAATGAGTAGTAGATCAAGTGCAAAGCCTTGGAATTCAATACTTTACTCGAGTGGGTGGGAGAAGAAAAGAACGTGTCTTGGTTGTTACCTGATGGTATTGTTACCGTAGCATCCTATATCACCGATACCTAAGTCATCCACCATCATCAGAACAATATTGGGTTTCCGCTCCACGTCTCCCCCTGCAACATCACTCCCTGCAGAGAGGAGGGGGAGGAAGAGGAGATGTGCCAGCAAAGGAGCTCTAAAGGTAAAAAGAGAAATATTACAGTTTAATTTGATTCCAGGGAAATAGAAAATACATACTGAAGCAGTTACTTGGCATTTGAATCAGTTTATGGGGGAAAAAAATAACAGTTTTGACTCTTTTTTGGCTCTCATGACTATTTGGATGACTCCTAAGAATCAAAGAGAAAAAATCACTACTATTTAAACTTGACTCAGAGCACACTCATCTCTTGGGCTTTTTCCTCAACATGTCATACTAGGTCTTTATGGCACAATACCAAGAGTTGTAAAAGTATCCCTGTAAACACAGAGTTCCTCAGCTCAGCTCTATAGGAAGACCAATTAGCTTTAATTGTCCCACATTACAGTCTGGACTTCAGCCTTCCAGCAGCAAACATTGATTTTCCAGAAAAAAACTCCTTCCTATATCGTGCTGACAGCTCTGTGAAGGCGATGTTTCTTCTGGTATTCATTAAGGCTTTAAAGAAAGAAAGAAAGCAAGTATAGACCTGCTGATAAAACTTAAGGGAAAGGTGCACAAAGTGAACACTGTCGCCAACATTTATATGAATGCACCGATTTGCTTCCTCATTCTTTCTTTATATATGGAGCATGGTTTAAGGTACAGCAGTACGCATAGGTGCATGAGCGAATTTTGAAAAGTCAAGTAGACTACATACTTAATATTTAGACTCACCTCATACCGGAACAAGGCAGCTATTCATTAAACTATAACGCCACACACTCATTCCTCTGCTGCATCACATGAAACCTGCTTCCTGGAACCAGCCGCGCACAAACAAATTTACCTTAATGTTTAGTATAAATGTGCACCAGAAAAGTTATGCTTGAAATACTTACTCACAGATGTTAGAATCACAATAATCATTAAATATAAATGAATATACTGCCTTTTTTGTTTCACTTGCACAAATTTATGAAAAAAAGAACAATTCTTAATAGTTTTGACATTGTGCAGCACAGACTTAAAGGAAGAAAAAAAAAGGAATAAACACAATAAAATAAAATAAATGCCTATTTTAATAGATTAGAAATAAAAGTATCCATAAAAAAGAGCATTGTTTACAAATGGATCAGTTTACAAATATATGTCATCAAGTAAGAATAAGAATAACTTTATTAATCTCCGAAGGGAAATTCAATTGTCTGTCGTCTCACAAAATATGTCTCCAAAAAGTCATCTACTATTTACACAAGAGTTATAAAGTCTGATGGCTGTTGGTACAAAAGATTTTCTAAATCTTTCTGTCCTGCAGCGAAGAGAGAGGAGCCGTCCACCGCCATTGGCCCTTTGGTCCATCAAGGTGTTGTGAAGTGGGTGATCCATGTTCTTTAGAATAGACTCCACCTTCCTTCGTTTAGATCTCTCCACCACATCCTCCACTGAGTCCAGCTTGAGTCCAACCACAGAGCCAGCCTTTTTCACCAGTTTGTTCAGACGTCTTGTATCTTTGTGTTTGATGCTTCCTCCCCAGCAGACTGCAGCATAGAACAGAACACTGTAGACACCACAGACTGATAAAACATTTGCAGCATCTTACTACAGATATCTATTGATCGGAGTCTTCTCAGGCAAAAAAGGTGGCTCTGCCCCTTTCTGTAGATGTAGTCTATATTCTTAGACCAATCCAACTTATTATCCAGATGTACACCGAGGTATTTATATGATGTCACCACTTCAATGTCCACTCCACAGGTGTTCACTGGCTGAAGAGGGGGTTTGGATCTACGGAAGTCTATGACCATCTCCTTTGTCTTTGAGATGTTGTAGGAATGCAGTAGTAGGAATGCATACTTGATTCCTTTCAGAATTAAGAAGTTTTGATGTCTTTCTTTCTTTCTTTCTTTCTTTCTATTCATTAATTCATTTATCTAATCATATCTATCTCTATGTTTTTCATATCTATCTTTATTTGCATAATAGCTAAGTTGCATACTGGCTTGTCAATGTGATATAAATGGATGAGAATGAGAATCAGCTTTACTAACCAAGTATGTTATTACATACAAAGTTAACTTAGTTATATTCTACGTGAAAACATAAAAATATGAGCAAATAAATGTGTATAAGCAAACCTACTCTAGACATTGGACATACTTTATTCAGCCAGTGTTTCTCAGCAGTCTGAGAAGTTTAACTTCTGTTTTTGTGAACTGGTTATAATTCATGGTCACACACACAGGCTATAACCTGTCTGGAGGGCACCGAAAAGCAGTCTACCATTCTGACTGCTATTGAATGAAAACACTGGTTACCATGGTTTCTGCTTCATGAGGATAAATCTCACACCAAGTCTACCTTCTCCAACAATAAGCTGAAAAAGGTAATACGCAGTCTAAGCCTCAGCCAGCTTGCTATTGTACAACAGTACAATAGTCATAATTACAGGCTACTGTATGAAAAAGTGTTTCATTAGATGTTCCAGCAATAAATCCAAACAGTATTTTTCAGGAGTGAAAAGGAAAAAAGTTAAATTCCCTCAACTACTGTGCTTAAGTAAAGTTGGAAGTAATTATGTCCCTATTAAGCAAATGTCTTCCTCCACACCACATTTAGAAGGACAATTAATCAACTTAATTTCACATCCCTGGTTTATATGATGAGGTAGTGGTCATGCATTTGTTTGTTATGACTTTTTTGATGATTTTTTTTGTCCTCCTGATTCATATGTGTTCTGGGGCTTGTCAAGAGAGGCATAGCGATGGTATGAGCCCCCCAGGTTTTCCAGGTTTTCTCCATTTCCTAAAACTGGCATTTGCGCTATAGCAGCAGGAGAGCCGCTGTGATGACGTTCTGCTCAAACAGTGTATCCCCGGTTGTCCTATGCAACTTTCTTACACCCATAGGCTATACAAGTGTCAATCATAAAAAATATGAACCCCCTAATAACTTTTAAATATGTAACTGCACAGAAAAAAAGAGGAAATGAGCTCAAACCAGTCTTACGATAACGACATGTCAACATCACAACCAGGGGGGAAAAAATATTTATAAAAGTTGTCCACTGCTCCATTTATTTTGCTGGAGGAGGCTGGGTTTATGACCTATACTGCAACCAGTCACCAGGGGGTGCTGTTTTCACAGAGGTTTCTCAGTGAGGAGGCAGAAAACGTCCATTCTTTATACAGCCTATGTTGAAATCCTTCACTGGTATATCTGTTTGCTTTGTCAGGGGTAGGACTTTCAACTAATGTAACTATTTGGTGTGTGTAGTAGCTTTCTTTGCATTGTTATGGTATAAATTCTTCATTGATACTCTAAACTGTGACTTTGGACACTTTTTGAGCTCAAAAGATTTATGTGTTTTTTGTTTTTTTTTCCAGAGCTTGAAATTATACAAATATAACCATTGCATGGCACTAAGACATTGATAGTCAAAGCAGATATGATTATTGGAGACAGACAGTAAAGACATTATAGGCTTGTGTGGGTGGCAGACAAACCTAATATCCTCTCTGCATAAGTCAGTGCTCCACTTTGGCAACCTTGGTCAAAAAAGTCAGGACACGCCAGACTGGAATTGTGACCCTCTTGGGTTTTTGTAACCCAGATTTGAGCTTTGAGCCCCAGATTGAGCCCCAAACATTCCTGTTGAACAGATTGGCAGAGACATGGACTTTCTACGACAGTAAACCTGAGCTGTGAGAGTTACCTGTAATGGTGTTTTATGATACTCTGGAAAACGTGAGCTTTTATCAGATTGTATTATCTGATCGCATCTGTGATCTTTGGTATTTTACAGGTTAGTTTCTCTTGCAGACACTGACACAGATGAGTTTTATTATCTCAATGAAAGAACACTTTGTCTGATTGAACTGGAACTTAATCAGAGTCCATATCAAAGTCCTCGTAGCCACACTCTGCGCTGCGGTTTAATTAAGATGTTTATAGTTTGTGTGGGTGTGATGTCTCATGGGTATGAAATGAATACATAGGAGTAAAATGTGTGAACAGGTGCTCACATTTTACCTGTGAGAGCCTCAGGTTTATCTTGATGTATCTGTCACCATAAATCATTGACCAAGCTGAGACTGTGTGTGTGAGTTCCCTTCTATAAATACCTAACATATCAAGCATTTCAGGTCATGTCTAATAGAGCCTGTTTCTGTTTTTATTAGACAAGGAGACAGCTGCACAAACTTCCCATGCAGGTGTACATCTGTGAATGGGAACAATTACAAATAAAATATGTGTTTGTGTCACATATTAAAATTCTCTTCTGTCATATTTGTTCACACGGGTTAAATAAGGTTATTTCACATAAACAGGAGACCAAAACACTTGGCACAAAAACTACAAAACACTGACTCCCACAGAAACTGTTTAATTGACTCCTTGAACATTATTTACACAATTCCAGAAGAACAACACAAGTGCCAGATGACAAAAAAATGAAGAAGACACAAAACACAGAACATTTAAATAAAGTGTAAGAATCACTAGTCTAAATCAAACATGAGTTGTCTAAATATGTTAAATGAATCAAGATGTATACAGGATAGGAAAGTGCTCCTCCCGTGGAGATTGTGTTATTAAAGTCACCTGCTTGATTAATGCTTGTTTCCATTGTTCTTTACCTTTCTGTAGTAAGGCAGGACTGGTTAAGCGCGATTATTGTTGCTGAAGCATTATCTAAAAAGCACACTTCAGGACCTAGAAAGTCTTCAATTTCCTTGTTTTACATTCTGGTTTGGATGCATTGCTCCAACTATTTGTGTTCACAAGGAATCTGACTTTATGGGACCATAATGCACTACACAAAAGTAGTCCTTAATCCATTTTTCTAAGGTTTTTGTTTCAGTCTGCTTCACATCAAATCAGTCCCAGTTAGGTTTCTGAATGTGCACTGCAGGACAGCAGAGTGCTTTTATTTTGAAGGATTGTGTGTTTTGAAGGCAGCATTGGCTCTGTCCAGAAAGCTTGTACTGTTATTTAATGGGTAAATTGTGCATTAAAACTCCATGCCATTGTTGCAAGATAATTCAAACACACTTTCCACTTGGTCCCGATGAATCGAGAATGACTCAGTCTATCACAGATAAGAGGAAAAGAAGGCAGCGCTTCGATCTGGCTGCCAGCCCACAGTTTATACAGTAGAATTAGTCGATATGTGACATCACAGACTATTAATATTTTTCAGCTTGAGGCTAGGCTGTTAGCAACAGTCTCTGTCCTGTATTGCAGCTATATGGTGCTTTTACAAGTAACACACTTTACATGAACTGCAGCACTACTGTATGCAACACCCTATAACCCTATTTGAAAGTTTAAAGGGAGCAGAGCAAGTACAAAACTGCAAGGCAACAAAAAGACATTCAGAAGTTTACATTATTTGTGCCGCAGCTGCAGAAAACAAAACTAAAATGCTGGGTTCTTTTTTTTTATTATTCTAAAATGCAGTAGCGCTGCTTCTGAGGCATTTCACAAATATATTCACAAAATACCACAGCAAACAAGTTAACTCAAGACTATTCGTGTCAGCTCTGAGGCACCACTGCTAAATGTAAAATTGCTATAAAAAAGTCACAGGAGGATGAAATATGAACGATCAAAACAGACTAAGACAGCAACTGGCTTGTTCAAATAAAGAGACACACAATAAGGAAAGGATTTAGCGCTGAAATGACGGAGCCTGCTCAGAGGTTGGAATGCATTATTGGTTGATATAAAAGGACTAAAAACAAAACAGCACACTGGCCCACTGTGAACACATATACAGCAGCTGTCACATTCATGTAACAGTTTCACATACATGAGCAGTTCAAGGTGAGGCTTTTCAACCACCAACATGATTATCTATGAATGCACTGAAATCATACATTCCTCAAATTTCTGGCTATAATGTTTCGATTTACATTCATCTACTATTTTGCCTGTTTCACTTTCATTGTCCCAGCTCTCTCTGTGTCTGTCGATTGCTCAAGCCAGGCTGTGTCAGTGAAAGGCACTAGAGAGGAGAAAGTACTGCATCACAACTAGACTGACACACACTACATCAGAACATTGTCTATTACATTATTACATGATCTCTTTTGGAGCTTGTCCATGACGGGTAGACATTCAAAAACAGCTGGACTACACTTCGACTCAACTCGGTACATTTTACATACTGTAGTCTAGGTCTCTGTTTCTTAACGGGAGAGTTTTTCCTCTTTAAAAAGTGGGTTTTTCAGTTTGTTTTAACAGGATTTGAGTTTTAAATTATTACAAATTTCACCGTTCTCCATTGAATGTACTGACTGAGGAGAAGCGTTGGTCGCCAAACAGGATTTCAAACTAAGCCCCTTCACCAATTAAAAAGGATACACACAAGAACACACGCACGTACAGTGACATCAGTGGCCCACCGATAAAACGCATTGGACCATGTAACTGCATCCCCGTAATCCTGGGATTATAACCTAAACTATTTTTCCAAGAATCCAGGAGAGACAGTGGTAATTATTGAAGCCCCCTGTTTTCCATTTACCCTGCGTTTGTGCTGCAGACAGTTACAATGAAAAAGAGAAAAACAACTTTAACATGTGTTTCACTTAAGCTCTTGGTTTCCAGGAGGTTTTTTTTCAAATCAAATTGGATGGCTCAAACGATGACAGAATGAGCAGAAAAGAAAAAAAAAAGTCACTGTAAGGTTTCATTACAAAGTATCTGTCACTGGTTTATATTCACACTCAATTACTAGAAATCTATAGTAGCCATACGAATAAAATAAAAAAGATAGTTCTATAATTTAGCCATCTTATGGTCATACTTAATTTGAGATTTAATCTCTTTAATGTTCCCTTTAAAATAAAAAAAAACAAACGGGATTTGGTTTAAAGTAGAAAGTTTGACCAATTCTTCTAATAAATTCTACGTTTTTATTATCATTAAATTCCTTAGTTTCACATATTTCTACTTTCTTTTGCTTATTTTTCCCTACATTTTTTCAAACACACAAAAAAGAACACACATATGTTTGTTCTCAAGCACATTCATTCAGGCACACATGCACACACATTAAAAACAGACAGGAACACACACACACGCACACACACACACACACACGCACACACAGCCCTACTGTGGGGCCTCACAGTAATTTAGCTCCACACACAATAGAGCTGAACAGTGAGATTGCCACTCTGCTAGCCATCGGTTGTTCCAGGCGGTCATGTGATCGTTGCTGGTCTAGGAGGAGTTCAGCAGGTTGCTAAGTACTACAGAGAGGAGAATAAACACAATGTAAAGGTCAAAACACTGCACAGCACTGAATGTGTTTGATTTTTGTTTAAAAATGCTTTTAGTGTGTTTCTGCGCCTTACCCTGGGGATCTGACTGAGCCTCGGCTGCATCAGCTTTGCGTGCAGCTTCTGGATCTGCTTCTGGTCAACCGTCGACAAAGTCATACGGATGCAAAAGTGGAAAAAGAGGAAAAAAAAGGAGCAGTCATGTCAGTTTCTGGATTTCACAAGCATTAAATTAACTGAGCATAAATTAAAAAGTGTGACATCATTAAGCATGACAGTGATAGCACCCTGGGGGATCTTCTGTTAACGCTAATAATTCTCAGCTCTAATTGCTCATTATCACCGCCATGAAAAGGTGTCAGACGTCTTTCTGGTATCAAACCTCAAAAATACAAGTTTCTGAGCTTTCAGGCCCTCCTATTCAGCATCCATAGAGCAGTGTGTGGCTGTCAGTATAATCACTTGTTCAGATTCATGAATACTAACTCAGCTGTCTTTGAAACTAGTGGAAGTCATTTCATTTTTGAAAGCTGCGTTTATTAAACATATTTTACTTGTTAAAAATGCTCTCGCTCTCTCTACAAATATTTGCTGTATAAACCTTAAGCTGAACCTGACTTTTGTCCCACATTGCCAAAGCTGAGTGGCCTTTTGTTGATGTTGACTGTAAATGAAAAATATGCTGAATTAGTGGTATTGGTCTACAGGGTGTGTGTGTGTGTGTGTGTGTGCTTGCGTTGACTGTAATTAAAAATACCTCCTACAGAGAAAAGCTCAGTTTGCTTTGAGTCAAAGGGAGACCGCTGACCTCCAAAACAAAGCAATAAACAAATAGATATTTACAACTAAGTGTTACCTAAAATGGTGAAAGCTCAGTTCAAATTAGAGTCTTCAATGCTATGACAACCTTGGGAAGGAAGCTTGTTGCAACACAGACCATAAAGTCAGTTTTTACATGAATCCCTCGGCAGCACCGAGCTCAGCACTGAGATATGAAGCAGATGTGGAATTCCAAAAAAACGAACAAAAGTTCTCCAGGTGACAACATACGGCTGGCTGCAACTAACCAGGACAGACTTCAGGGTGGACGGCATGATAAGGATTTTGAGGAAAGTGTGTGCTCATGTCGAGTATTATTGATAGAAATTTATACAGTTTTTATATTTTTGTGTTTCTGTGTTTTTCAGGCCATTGTTCTGAGGATGGGACAGAGGAGTCAAAGGGTCGGTGATCAAACCCAGCCTGCCCGCTCAGAGGACTAAAGCCTCTGTAAATGAGGTGAGCGATTTATCACTGAACAAACTGAGTCAATAAGTCATAAAGATACTCACCCTGTCTGTTTTTGAAGCAAAGCATCTTCTTCTGGTAGGTGATGTATGCTGCAACTCCTCCCACTGCAGCAATTACAACTGCACTCAGGATGCCTGCTAAAGAGCTGGAGCCAGACTCTGTGGGGAATAAACACATATCAAAGGTCACTGACACCTGTGAGTCAACCACAGTCAGGTTTGTATTAGTCAGTATTATATCTTCACCATTACAGCTTTGAACATTTATTTCAGACACGTTATATTCCACAAACTTGACTCTGCTGTGAGGGATATTTGTCAGTGTGAGACCAACTCACTGAGACTGTGATGTTAAGTCTCACCACTGGGTGCCATTTTGCAGTTGATATAATGAATAGCAGCTCAGCAGCGAGGCTCAGTGGCATGACATTACGGATGTAAGTGTATGTGTGTTTGTGTGTTAGAGGAAGAGAAACACAGAGAGAGCCATGCATCATCTTGCTCGAGTATTTACTGATCCTCTTCCTCTTGCCTATCCTATAATTTAGTCCAGAAAAAGCTCTCAGTGACAGCATATATCTGTCTGCACCTGTAACCCTGTTACTATGACAACATGAATCTGCATAGTTTTCACGCTGTGTCATATCAGACAGCACAGTCAAAGACTCAGAAAACAGAAGCGCACATACAGCCTATCACGCCATGATTAGTCATGAATACTGATGAAATAATAATGTTATAGGAAAACCACAGAATAGCACACCTGTATCATGTTGCATAGAGAGATAATGCTCAAACAAACATCATGAAAATCTGCTTGATTGTCAGTAAATTGGTGTTATTCATGCCATAAAGCAGTTTGTTCAGATAATTCAATAGTTAACATGTTTAATTAGATTAAAATACAATTATTTCTAACAGCTTTTCTTCTTTGCTAGACCATTTTTTTACCTGCTTAAATAAAGACCTCACATGCCTAGACAAGATGTTCAAAAGATGTAGATACTATGAATTTGGAAACCAACATTTTATTTAAAACATAAGATAGAATAATCCTGAACACTTTTCCCTTATTTCTTTAAGTAAATCAGGATCAGGTCAAACTGATTCACAAAGACAACTGTAATAACAGCTGGAAATTTTCTGTTTCCCATTCCCAGATATTATTTGATTGTCCATACAGCATAAAGCTTTCATACCCAAAATCTATGCTAAAAGGGTCAAATCATCAAAACTATTGGAAAAAATGTATTGACCGATTCAAAAGTTATGCAACATTCTGTTTCTACCCCTCAGATGGTGGTCATAGAGAATCTATTTCCTTAAAGGCCCTGTTGGGAAGTTTTGGTTTGTGTACGTTTTGGCTCCCCCCCTGTGGACAAAGCTTATCTTGTCCCCTCTGTGCTTAAATACCGGCCTCCAAAAAGAAAAATCTTATACTGCTGACTCTTGACAGTCAAGGGGACTACAAATCATAAATGTTTTGTGTAAGTTTTGAAAATGGGGCTCTTTCATCAGCTGCTTGATTGATGCCTTTACTCTTGCACCATTTTAGGCTTTAAAGTTGGCATAAAAAAACCCATTAACCCTGTTGCTGATGTTCCTGTTTGCCATTAGATATCATAAAATGGCAAAAAGAATAATTAAAGTGTATTTTATAAATATCAACAAATTCCTCACAGTAGCTTTAAGAGTAAAATTTAAACACCAATTCCAAATGAATCAAAGTCATCTGGATCATAATCAAAAGTTTAAAGAAACCCAAACTCAATGTTTTATTCGGAGAAGATCCAAGACTGGGTTAGCTGAATTTACTCAGTTACAGAATGTTTATTTGACCACCTAATTTCAGGATTTGATCATATTTGATTCATCCAAATAAATTGGTTTTCAACAAAAAAGCGTAAATGAGAAATCATGTGGATATTAAAGTGGATTATTCAAGGTTTGTCTAGAGGAAAAATAGAGGTATTTTTAATGTCTGCTCTACATCTTGAGAGCAAAACTCTCTAACTTGTTTCCAAATGAGAAGAACTTTGCTGACTTAATGTGACTTAAATTTACAACTGAGCCAAAACTAAAAGAAAAAAAGAGCTGATTTTAAAGTGTTAGATCAACCAAAAGTTGTGTTTAGTACTTTGAGTCTCTGTTGCATTTGTCTTAGAGAAAAAGCCCTTTATGGCCCCTGCAGAGGCTTCAGTCAACACACAGTAATAACAACAGGATATTCTGAAGTGATAATGGAGAGACATGATTTTAGGGTTGAATGTATGAGTCAGCAACGTAAAGTACATGGGAGAACAACATGGTACAATAAATTCAGGTATGAACAAAGATGAAAGCAGTGAAAAACATAGGAGCGCCATGAGTCAGAGGGCACATGTGAGTCAGGGTTAGTTAAAAAAAAAAGTGAGTGAGTCATTGAGATTAATTGAATTGAAACGGGAAGATGTGAGTCAGATAAAGGAAGTAAATGTCGGTGCAGACAGGTAAGAACATGTATGTTATACACATGCAAAGCAGCCAACGTGGACACACCAGTTTGTCTGGTCTTAAATAAACCGACAGAAAAGTATCAGTTTGGAACTATGGAAACAAAAACTATGGGAACCGTTTGAGGTCAGCAGCCACAGCCCCTATCACCTGACTGTTTGCAACATGGCTGGGGGTCAGAGGTCAGGGGGAAAACTGCAACAGCAGACTGTCGAAATGTCAAGATTGATTTGAGACTTTCAGTAACATCAAAAAAGCATAATGAGCCATGAGTTTAATGCACCAAGGTACAGGGAGGACAATGTTTTAAAGCTTTTTTTTCATATCTTCAACCAGCAGGATTCAGTTTGAATGCAGTTTAAAGTGAACACTTCAGAAGTGGTGGAAGTACTTTGACTCAGTAGATTAAACTCAACACATCATGCACAGGTCCGCCTTTACTTTGACCTGTCACTTTCAAAAAAACTGTGAAATACGACTTAGTTTCACAAAGGGTCAAAAACACTTTGAGAATGCCGTGCAGCAGTTGCAGCGACAGCACACCTGTCGCTTTGCATGTCACAAGAAAATAGGGGAGTGCTTATGTTGCAGGTGTGTTTGGAGCAAGGTATAGGGAGGTGGCTTAATGTATTCAAAACAAGAAAAAAGAGCAGGAAAACTCACCTTCAGCATCAGGTTTGTCTACTGTAAAGAACAGAGGACACAGATACAGTTAGTAACATGAAACTGAAGCACCTACAAACTGATTTAACAGTCATGCCTTGAAGTAAAAGTGGAAACATCTGTGGAATGGCCGTGGGACTGACAAGTGATTTGAATATTAAAACTAGAAGAGTTACTGACTGAATGTGACTCGTGCAGACGTTTATTTGAACAGGCGCAAACATGCATCTGACACTTTGTTCAATCTGTTTTCCAGCTGGAGAATTGGGAGCGGAAGTTTGTCACTGTCATTGTGGAGGTGCTTTAGGAGCAGGCACTTTAAATAGATGCAGCATGACTACACGTGAGAATTCATTGTAAATACTGTTCAAAAAGTTACTTTGAAACACTGTTTTAACTTAAACAATGAGGAAGAGCATTTCCTGTTGACTAATGTATCCTGTTTTTTGTCAAGACCCTGCCAGTAATATCCTGATTAAACTCAATTCCTGCCGCAGCTGCAAAGCTTTACCACTATCTGAATTGAATTTTAATTATTTTAACTAGCAACGGTGTGATGTTATTATATTTCCTTTTATTATGAAAATTGCATATAAGCACAAATAAAGTCTTACCATCTCCTGTGGCACCAGCAGCTTTTGCTGGAGAGGGAGAAAAGAAAGACGTGATTAAAGGAGGCATTTTTAGTTCAGGTCTTAATGCGCTAATGATGCATGTGAAGCACTTTGACAAAAGGGACAGAGAAGAAGAACAAGATTATTCTCTTTGAGGTACTTTACACCTTTGAGGCATAGCAGGTCTAGAGTTTCTGTCCCAACCAGTCTGTATACATTTACTCACATGACACAGAGTAAAATGTGCTGCTTGAACAGTTAGAGGGATGTTTTTAAATCCAGAGATGGAAACACATATCCATTATGCTGCTCTCTCTCTCTCTCCCTCTGGATCGATATGCAAACAGCCCGATTATCTTATCCTGCCTGTCTGAATTTGCCTGTGACATCATGGCTACCTGCTCCAACTTGACAAAGCCACTAATCACAGAGCGCTTCAGAAGAGCGTCTTTAACAAGATTATAATGATTATACCGACCTACATGAATCGGCTTTCACATGGGGAGTAAAGAGTGAGTGCCAAAGAGAGAAGCTGCTGCAGGAAAATCTACGTTTGAGCATTGCTGTCAAATTGCTTTGTGGCTGCGATTAAACTTACTCAACTGGGGAGGTGAAACAAGTCAATTTGGAGTCGTTTCATGGGAACACAGCTCTCTAAATTAGAACTGCATTCTTACAGAGGTGAGGGGCCTTGAGCAACAAATCATTCAGAGGCTGTGAAACACTGTAATTTTGACTCCAGAAAGTACATAAAGCTGACTGTCCCATGATGACATGTTATTGTTGTTGAGGCAGTGTTAACACTAAGCTGTAAGAGAGAGAAATGACAGGAGTTTGAAATGCACAAATTGGCCTTAGGTTAGCCCATTTTAGCTTGATTCACTTGTGTCTTGCTTTTGTAACTAACATAACAGTTTTAAACATCCCCCTAATTCCCTGTTTACATGTGCAGTTGTTGCCAGGCTGGGAAACTCAGTGTATTTAGCCATCAATGTTAGAGCTAGAATCATGTTATTCCTTAGTCTGCTGATGCTGTGATTCCATTGAAATCCAGTTTTTTTTCTTTTTGGTGTTTAACAAGGCTGATCCAAAACTGCATCTCAAAATACTCTTGTAATTTTGCAGTAACTGGTAACAAAAGTGCGAGAAAAGTCAGTGTTATTATGAAAAAAAAAAACTAACGTCCAGGCTCCAGACTGCGGCTCTTCCCTGGCTGTGCTGGGTCCTCCACTGCAGCGGCTCCTTCGTCCAGAGCATCTTTCAAGTCGAATCCCAGATCTGAGAAAACAGTACGATATCATTGGTGACAGAAACACGATATCCATCCCTGTACAGAAACTCTCTTTTCACTGTTCCACCCAAGAGGGATATCTTCCAGATGTTCCCCTCAAACATTTAAACTTTCCAGCAGTCTACGCTACACCGTCCCAAGCTATTTGATATGAAGATACTATCTACCATCATGAAATCACTCCCTATACTTCAGTCCTTCATGTCCCCGAGTGAATACCCTGCAGAGACGTCCCTGATGAAGACCCTGAAACACTACCTGCTCAGAGGGTGTGACAACGATCCTGTGAACCAGCAGTGACTTAGATTAAAGGATATCATCTGTCCTGAACAATACCTGACCCTGAATCTAGATTCATTAGGGGAAAACCCAAGTGACTTTATACAACATGTGTGAGTCAGAGCACAGAACAGTTGGAGGCTGGGCAGGGCGAGGTAGCAACGCTGAATTATTGTACAGTTGGAGGAACCTCAGAGGAGCAATTATCCAGTGACCTGTTCTCTCATAGAAAAGCCCTGACATGAAATCATTTTAAGTGAGTGATGTGCTCACACTGCAAAGACTGCGTTAATTCTGAGAAGTTAATGTGGACTTTGAGCTATGTTTCACCCCAGATCCACCTTAACTTTGATTAATAACATGTAGGCCACGGTTGAGACCAGTGGTTCCTAGCCTAATTTCCCTGGAGACTTCTTTTCCTGTATCATCTAAGCAGAGCCTACCAAAGGCCCTCAAAGAAAAAAAGTGATGTATTATTGTAAAAAAAAAAAAAAAAAAATCTTACTGTCCTCCGCAAAATAAGTGAGGAAAAATGTTCGAGTCAAATTCTTGTTTTCACAATCACACCTATCATCGCCACGGTCTCCCTAACAATCAACAAGAACCCCTACCCGCCCCTCGTCTTAAAGACCCTACAGGTAACTCAATGGTATCTTTTGTGTGAGTTGCTTTATCTGATGAAAACTGTCACACTGCTTTTGACAGTCAGACAAATCACTCATTGTGAATTTCTGGTATGTTAAATAACTCACTTCATCTGACACTTAGCCAACAGCATTTCAAAGTATAAAAAAAAATACTCAATGTTGAGCTGACGCTTTAGGTTCATCAGTATTAACATTAAACATGAGAATGTTTGGCTCTAAATATGATCAAATCCCACTTCACTGTTCACTGATCTAGGAAACGTCTCGCTTCAACCATGTCTCCTCTTAAAACGGAGGTGAAGTTGTATAAGCTGGAAGCCAACCTCATAACCTTCCTCAGAGATGCATGCTTTTATAAAAAAGAGGGAACATCTGCTTTCTATTAGTTTGTCCAGGAATTAGGGAGTTGCAGAAAATGATATATGATATCTGTAAAAGTGGGATGTGTATTATCAGAATCACGACTGGTTATACATCACTTACTTCATGGTGATCAGAAGTGACACAGTGGAGCTCTTATACTCTTATGAATACTGCACATACAGGTTACAGTTTACAACTAAATAAACAGCAGTTGCATTGGACTGACAGAGCTTAATAACTTTCAAGCCACAGTATTTCTGCTCAGAGCATGCCCAGTTGTTGTTTTCATTATAGCTTCCACCTCTCCACAGCATTAATTAAACAGGTCAGCTCCTCTGTTGATTCAGTGTTGCTGTAGCAACCAAAAAATAAAGGTTTCGACCACGTTATCCTGGACTGCCTTTCTTTGAGGAAGAAAAGAACTTGAGTCACACTGATAACCACTTGTTTGTGGTGCCTCTCGGTAATTTGTTTAACTGAAAAAAACCTTGTCAGTAAAGGGTGAGGTTTGTGTGCTAAGGCTGAGTAATGTGGTTTAATTTATAGAGTAAAAATCGGTATAAAAAAAACTCCTTTTTACCCGCATTCCCATCAGGTACAGCCACATCTGGTTTAACTGTTGGCAAACACAAAGAACAAATTAGCCGTTAATGAAAAACATCCAAGTGTGAATAACAGACAAGGCTGTGAGCACCATTTACAAACAGCACCAACTTCTTAATGGGATCTGTGAAATGATAAAAAAAGCAGAGATGGTGCCTAATTCTGAAAGACAAGTCTGTTTTCACTATTTAACTGCTCATAAAAGAGGCGTGGTTTAATGTATTTAAAGGTATCACATAATTTCAGGGTTTTTATCGTGACTTAAGGAGCCTGTTGCTACCATAACACAACATGACATGATAATTGAACAGAATGTGCCAGAAGAAAGGCGCCAAGCACAAATTTTTAAAAACAAGTTCGTACAGTTTCCACATGTACAGGACACGCATGTCAAAGAGGTGAGCTCATCGACAGATTCAACATGTGTTTCACTTTCTCAAGAGCTCTGTCTCGATGTGTTACTACTGTACTATGATAATAATAAACACACCAAAGAGGTACCCGCTCTTTAAAATGTCTAAACATGCAGCGATTCATGAATTCCTGCCAAAGGTGTAAGTGCTCGGGGTTGAATGCGGGTTAAATTCTGTGTGTGTGTGCACAACTACATGTTAACTCTTGCTTTTATGAATGAATGTGATCCTTTCTGCATTTTTTTTTTCATTTGGTGCATGTTACAGAGAGTGAGAGAAAGAAACACACTGCTCTCCTCTTACTTGGAATAACGTCAGGATCAGTTGCTTCTTTCTCGGCGTCTTCTGCATCTGGATCTGCTCCACCCTGTCAAAAACAGAACATAAAGCATACTGTATAAGACTGAGGAGGGGCATGCAAAGCAGAGAGGATCTTATAAGAAGTCTGTGTTACACCACAGGTTTTCAGTCATAACACTAACCTAAAAAAGCATGAGTCAGTAAAAGATGAGAAAAAATGTTGACGTACTAAGTGCAGCAAATGAAAAGAAAAAGTTTAAAACTAACAGCTTCTTATGTTACAAATATTAAAAGCAATTTTAACTACAGGTTTAATCTCTTGTTTATAATTTCATTCCTAATAGTTTGAGACATATTTAGATTTGCACATATAAATATATATTTTTGTATGTTTTTATTCATCCATTTGTGTATAATAGCTTAAGATGAATAATCTTTATATTCTAACTTTTAATGCCTGAAACCACTGCGAGGGGGAAGGTGTCAGCTGAGCCACTGTAGAAACAGTCCTGTTTTTTCAATATGCACATTAAGTTCAAACAAGAAATAATTCATGTAAATGTAAAATTTTGTAAAAAAGAGCTTTAAATAACTTCTTAAATAAGATTATACCATAACATAGACCATTTCAGTAAAATTATCTTTGCATATATTCCCTTTTTGAATTTACCTGTCTATCTCTAGAAATATTTAACAGACGTATAGCTGTCCTATGGCTCCTTTCAGTTACTGACCTTTGGAGCCTCAGTGGTAGCATTAGCTTTGGCAGGTTTGTCTTCTTCTTCAGGTTCTGGTTTTACAGGCTCTTCAGTCTCTGCTTCAGCTTCAGGCTCTGGACAGGAACCGAAGAACAGGCATTAGTGTTGGGAACATCTCACTACCTTCAGTGGTGAGTTTTTATCGTTCATGTTGCTAAAGTCTTAAAGGGACAGGCTGTGAGGGTTTGATTAACTGAAGAATTGAAGGAAGGAAAAGGTGATAAGTGAGAGCAGGGGAATTAAGAACTGATCTTGTGGCCTTCTGTTAAATTTAAAAGATTAAACACTGTTGCTTCTCAAAGTAAATAATATCGGCACACTGAGGTTCAAGAAAAGCAGTGGAGAATTTATAAAACTACCAAAGCATCAGATAAACAGTTTACACAAAAATGAACACTTTCATTATCATCTTCATCAAAGTTCTATTAACCACCTGATGTAGCAGCTGCTTCCTCCTCTATGATTGCCACTATAGTAGTCAATATGTCTGCGATCGCCGAGTCTACATCCCCTGCAGGAGTCACTTCTTCAGCCTCAGTAGTTGATTCTGTGGGTTCAGCAGTGGGCTCAGGGTCAACAGTGGTTTCAAAGTCAGCGGTGGGTTCAGGGTCTTCAGTGGTCTCAGACTCGGCCTCCTCAGTTGGCGATATTTCCTGTAGTTGGCACAAGATAAGTAAAAGGGCAAAGATGCATAAAAACAGGGCACATAAAGCCGAGAATGTGTTACAAACCAAAATGCAAGCTTTGTGAGAAACATTTTTTTTTAAACTCCGGTTATTGAATGGCTGCCAAAGGACTGAGAACTATATTTTTTATCAGACTTGAGATAGCTGAAGGAGTCTGAGGTCACACAAAGGTGCAGGTACCTTAAAAACGCTGACAGACCTCATGTGGCCCTGAGAGTCTTCCAGCGTTTTTTCTAACTATGAAAGCTAAAAGTTGTTTGAGCTTAAAGTGAAAAACATGGCTAAAGAAGAGTAAAGCAAAACTGAGCTTTTTTGAGCTGATTCTCTTTGTCTGTTTACATCCATACCAACAACGCAGGCAGCAAATGTCACCTAAATCTACAGAGTTGTTGAGACAGCGATACCTGTCCCAGTGTTGGGTATCAGTGCGTATGCGAGTTAATGCATTAATGCAATTGCATTATTTATAAACCCACCCTAAAGATCAACCTGTTTACTCTTCTCCAAACCAGAAGCATTCACAGCAATGATATACGTGTTATGGCTGCTATTTGTTGCAGCTGGTTCAGAGAGACAAAGAGGAGCGGTGTCGTGCCAGCCAAAACATCAGCATTTTTCAGTTACAGACCTGAAAGCTGTGTATTTCAAAATTTAGAGTTGCAAGTTGATTAAAACCAGTAAATCACAACATGAATCACATATTTGCAGAGGGAGGGTAGCTCGAATCCTTCCACCATCACATGGTTTAGTAGCTGCAGCTGCTAGCTTGTTGCTAGTTGTTAAGCTTGAGTTCCTTCAGTCTTCAGAGGGAACCCAAGCTTCAAAACAAGTTAATCACTTACTTGTATGTTTTTTACAACATTAGTATGAGAGGGGAGACACCTTATTGACCAATGCTTAATTCTCAGCCTTGATATTAGTTGTCACATCACAAGAAGTTTACTTTTCGGGACTTCAGGGGTTCTGCAGCAAACAAACACTGAGATTGTTAAATGAATTCCCCTTCCTTTACCTCAGACGTCTCTTCAGTTTCCTCATCAGCTGCAGTATCTTCACTTGAGTCTGTTGGTGCGTCTGCTTCAGCGGTGGGCTCAGTGGTCTCAAGGGTTGTTACCTCCTCTGTTGGGACTGCATCATCTTCTAAACAGAGATGTGAGCAGAAGGGAAGGAAGAGAATCGATAAAAGAACACTTCACACTTCAGGGACATATCAATTTCAAACTGTAGGGGGAAAATAAATAAAATAAAGGGCTGTCCCGAAACTCTGCTGCTTCAGTAAACATCAAACAACCGACAGAAGTGAGAGGCACTGTGAATTTCTTTGGAAAAGAAGAAAGGAGGCAGGCAGAGCAACCCAAATCAATGTCATGGTTTCAAAGGGAATACTCCTGCTTTTGAAGGTATGCAGCTTGACAACATCTTTTAAATTCAATATACTGACTGAGTTTTTGTGTCAGTGATAAGCAGACTCTCTAAATCATGTCGTGCCTATAGAATTTGATTTAAAACCCTAATGCCTTAATCCATCTGTTATCACTTAAAACCGTTAAAATTGTTCGTCTGAGCGGCCGTTACGATGTTGTGGATTCAACGAATTCCCTGACACAGCTATCACACACACACACTGAGCCCCACCCTGTCCTGATTGGTCCCTGATGTTTACACTCCAGCCCCAACTGTATGACAGACACCCTGATAAAGTCTGACCCGCCCCGACATCGCACACACTCTTGACCCCAGCAAAGCCGTAGCAGCTGCGCGCTAATGAGAAATTACAGAAGTGTGTCTCCCGGTCTTTCTGCATATGCGATGAGCGTGGTGTTGGTGTGTGTTTGAGCTGCTCCTGTGACATTCCCCCCCTGCGTGTGAGAAGCTGAAACAGCAAACTGTGCCCTGACTTGATCAGTTTTTGCGCTGCTGATTTCAGCAGCACCCTGATGCTGGTCCATCTGGGCAGTTCTGCCTTTCAAAATAAAAGCAGGAACCACTAAATAAGAGAGACGGTCATAGATTAAAACTCTTATTTTTAAATTAAAAAAGGGAATGGATCAGGAAGTCCGGGCATGTATGTGAGCACTACTAGAAAAATAGCATCCTCCCTAGTCAGTGTGGCTGTGCTTGAGGTTTCCGCCTCAAAAGGGAGCTTTTTTCTGCCTTTGTTGCCAAGGTGCTGGCTCATTTTGAATTAACTTTTGGCCTGACCTATCAGTTAAGTGTTGTTGCATAACTTCTATGGGACTTTGCCTGAGCACTATCAAAAGCTGAATATTTAATTGACAAACCCTGAAAGATGGAGACATTACAGAAAAATAGCGTGCTCACTCCTCCGTGCTCTCTTTCCTCCCTATGTTCAAAGGAAACGTTCATCCTTTCTCACTCATTGCCAATCAAGTTCCTAAGAAGGATCTGTGCATTTGCCAGGTGAGATCATATCAGAGTCAGTGAAGCCTAGAGGGAGAGCGGCACGAACACATCTCAACTATTTCCATCACACTGAGAATTCTCTGGAAGTGAGCAAGCACCAGTGACAACCTGGCTCCCCACACAAATACACACACACAAACACAAATTCATACCAGATATGATGAAAAAGATCATGCACGCACACACACACACACATTATTAAGCGCACGACCAAAATTGCTAAACACACACCACATGCACTTGTTCACATGACATGGCAAAAGAAAGACAAGCGTTCTTTGTTTCTCCAGATTCCTCATTTTTCCAGTAAATGACACTGTCTCAAACTGCACGCAGCAGAGTTTCATGTACAGCAGGGCTGCATGTGTGAATACATGTATGAGCAGGTGTGCTGTGTGTGGGTGGATGTTTGTATTTCACCAGACTTCCTCTAAGGCAGTTTTTATCAAAGTGCTCAGAGACTCAGGGAGTTGAACATAGTTTAGATGCAGAGATTTCAGAGTCACATGACTGTACAGAACATCTAGAACATAGAAACTACAACCAGAGCATGTTGGCTTCATGTAACTTGATTTGTAAAGGACTTTTAGAGATTAAAGTGCCTTCAAAGGGCAGCAACATTAAATGGGTATGTTGAAAAATCACCCGTTTTAGTAAGAAAATAGATGTAGTTCAGCTTTGGATCTGACTTCAACTTGGATGAGAAGAAAAGTAAAAGATAAAGTTCAAGCACCATTAGTCAAGGCTCTCCAATTAGATCATGTTTTAATTAGAGTTAAAATGTCACATGTCAGCTGACATTTAGGCAGGACTACTGTTTATGTGTGTATGTGTGTTTGTGTGATTAAGTGTATGTGTGTGTGTATATACATTTCTGTTTATGCTCTCATTTACTGTAAATGCGGGCACATTTCCTCATGGCATTATGCTTGCATACACGTGTTTAAGGCATGTGGCTCTCATGTAACTTCTCTGAGTGTGTGTGTTTGTGTGTGTGTGTGAGTGTGTATACATGTACATGTCTGAGGCGTGTGTGTGTGTGTGTGTGTGTGTGTGACAAAGAGGGAAAGGTACATTGCCCACCGTACACACACTCCCTCTTTTTCTCCTGCCACTCTATAGAACATTCTGTTCCCATCTATCAGTTTGCCACTTCCTGCTCTAACTACCTCCACTACCCTCCCATAAACCCCCACCCCCCCACCCTCCAGCACACACACCCATCAACATACATACACACACATGCATGTGCACAACCCTCGTAAAAGCACCTTCTCCTCCCCTCTTCAGTCCAAGTATACAAACAACCACATGTTCACATGCACGTAAAGTTCTTGTGCACATTCACTCTCACATATTAAGTAAGCTGTGTTCTGTTTTGTGTTAGCGCAGTAGTGAAACAATTTGTTGCACATACAAACCTCTCTCTCTCTCTCTCCCTCCTTCTTCTACTTTTCTTCTTGTCTTTGAGTTTGCCTCCCCCCTTTCCTCTCTCTTCTTTCTCTCCCCCCAAACTCTTTACTCCCTTTGTTTCTCTGCCACTACTCTCCCTTGAGGCTGATGAGTCATCTGTGTGTCTCTGACACGACCGCACGCGATTCTTTGGGACTGTACAGGATGAGCGGAGTTAAACAGCAAAAAGGGTCCCCACAGGAAAACTTAACTTAAAACAGTTGACACATGTGGGAAAGCATCATAGTGGCAGTTATGTTGTGATCTTTAAAAAACAATTTAAGTGGTTTGACAGATTAAAAAAAAAACCCTCACCACATTATTAGTTTCTCATCCACAATCTAAAGTAACCCCTAACAACAGCTCTGCCGCATACTCCAGCTTTATGAAGCCTCTAATGGCCAGTTTATGTTACAGCTTTCCAAGAGGTGTTTATTCAGCCATTTTTATTATTAAAGTTGAAGTGCTAGTGTTGTACTGGACCGCATAACACTGAAATGTGTTTCTAATATTCTTCCCTCCTCATGTTTGGAAAAGGGGTGTGGGCAAAAAAACATAAAGCAGTTCACTTCAACAACAGTGAAAACTACAAGCTCGATAGTTTAACTTGATCACAGTGAAGATGTCATTCAGAGTTAGAATATTTACCTCTGCAAAAGTAGAACTGGTTTCTCAGTCTATCTTAAAAGGTGTAGAAATGAGTGATCTGGTAGAAAGCAGCTTCATACATGACAGTGACGGTTTCATAATGCCAACAAACCCAGAAAAGCCAATAAGAGTGATAATCTAATCAATGATTCCTACCACTCACCTACTTTAACCTACAGTCAAAAACACTGGCTTATTTTAGCACACTAAAACAAGATGAAATGATCTGGTCCACATGGTGAAGCCACCCACTTGCTTACCTCAGCATACAGACTGAAACTGGGGAAAAGCTTACCTGGCTCTTTTTTAAGGCACAGTTACAAACACCGCCCGCTAACACCTCCCTGTTTTGAATGTTACGTCCAATTTGAAGGTGTTACACTTCGTTTGGTGCCAAATATTTCTTGGCAAGGTTAGGTCACTTCTTGCAGTCCTGGCATCACAGAGAGTTGCTGGTCAGAGCCAATAAAGTAGTCCAGAATATAGCACTATATTAAACTATAAATTGTTGTTTTTACACTTTACTGTTACTTAAAGATACAAAAATGAGAATTAGAGTGCTTTAGGGGTGCTGAGAGGTGGGTTTTGTCGTATTTCACAGGGCCGTGCTAGCTCGCTATTCTGAAGAGTACACTGACCAGCTACTTCCTGTGTCATCATATTGACAGCAAAGGCATTTAGGGGGTTTCAGTCTTCCCATGCTCCTCTGAAAAGATGCCAAAATGCTTATTTTTTCAATTATGCCATGGACAAAATGACTAACTCCCGAGTCAATCATTCCTCCAGCTGTATGTGTGGGCAAAAATCACAAGCATAACATGTTCCTACAAATTTACTGACTGAGCAAACTGCCACATGGGTTTAACTTTGGGTGAATTTGTAACTTGAAAAAAGTAGAAACAGCTTCAACCTACATACTGGATATAGGCAGAAAAGCTATAGGTGCAAAGAGGAGCACGTGGGAATGAACTGATTTTGACTCTTACTTTATGAAAATTAACATTAATATTCATTTTCCTGATTTTTCTGTTTGAGCAAGCAAGGCTTTGAAATGGCATGAACATGTCGGGTCAAGTCACGGCAGTTTATTTATGTAGCACTGAATTATAAGTAGAAATATCTCCAGGCTGTTTTCACACAGCGCTGGTTTAGACACTACTCTTTATTATGTAATTACTTTTTATCACATTACGAGACGGTAAAAATAATGTAAACAAAGTTTCTCAAAGTTTAATGAACAAATTTGTGATACGTCCAGGTGCCTCCAACAAGTTGCATCATGTTAGACAGCATCTGTGACAACAGGCAATTGAGCATGACGCAGGAGACAGAACTTTTACATAAATCATGTGTCACACTTGGATGTTCGGGGCCTTAATGCAGGTGCTGCTGTTTTCATAACTGATGGAGTGGCTTGACTCGACATCTGATACAGCTTTGCTTTCAGAATAAACTTTTTTTTTTCTTTTATACCACATTCAAACTTTTGTTTTAGCAATTACAAAAAAAACAGAGGAATAAATCATTTCCCTTTCAGCTCTGATGAGAACCACAGTAAATTGGAGTCTAGGACATTTTGAACAAAAGCAGAAGAACTTTGTTTTCTTTCCCTTGGTTCCTGTCGTGAGATTGCCTCTTGTGAGTCATAATGCGTGTACATGCATGCGCGTGTAACCGATAACCAGGCCTTTCCCCGTAACACTAAACCAGACAACTGTGTGTGTATGTATGTGTGTTTTTGTCAGGTGATACAACAGCACCTCCACGACGCATTGTCCCGTCAGGCACGGTCCTATTGTTGGTTTGTAGGACAGAAAGTGCTGTGTTTACTCCAGCCATGCACACCTTAAAACTGCCCCCATGGGAGCAGAGAGGAGAGGCTGTGAGTGCGTGTGTGTGTGTGTGTGTGTGTATTTGTGAGTGCATGAGTTTCACTTATCAACCACAAGTGTGATTTATGTGATAGGAGTTGAAGGTGTAAACAGAGACAAGTCTGTACATACACACACACCTGGTACACATCACACAACACTCTTTGCTTTCATCTGCCCATAACACTGATGTACGCACACACACACACACACACACACACAGTCATACACATTAATCGGACACTCCTGATACTCCCACATGTTCTGTACATTAAAGTTGGACCCCACACCCATGAACGCACACACTAGCTCACAGATGCTGAGGGCCCAGGGGGAGAAAAGGCGCTGAAACTAGTTGCATTGTCGGGTGTTGTCTACAGCTGGAGCTGGATCTAGTTACTCAGACACTCCCTGTCCTTCGCGTCTTTAACCTACACACACCATACATAGTCTGCACACATGAAGAGACACCCAATGCATGATCATTTTCAGCCTAGCTACAAACTAGTGTGCAAACTCGCATGCAAGCACACACGCCCTTGGAGATTTCCTGCCTCACCATCATCCACTGGGCTTAAAGCGAGGTTACAGTTCAGCAATTAGAGAGGAAATGTGTGTGTGTGGGAACAAGAAGGAAAAGAAGGGAACCCTTGCGTGTGTGTGTGTGTGTATATATAAAGGGGTGGTTCCTCTGTGGTGGTTAATCTAGTAATAAAAAGTGAACCGGTAGAGTGAGATTTTCTATATCAACGCACCAACGTTCAACTGAAAGTTTGTTTGCGTAAAGATGACTGTCAGCCACACTATGATCTCTGTATGTCTTTGTTCTTCTCTCAGATACACTTATCTGTTTCCAACATCTCCCCCACTTTCCTCGTGCATGTGCACATTTTTTTTTCAATCTTTGCCTTCTACCCGTCTGAGTTTTACTGCTAATTTGAACAAAGTAAAATCGTTGCATGCGCCGCAGGGAAAGGCAGGGGCCCATGGGCCAGCTAAAGAAGAAGAAGGAAGGGAAGGGAAGAGAAGAAAGCAGGGAATAATGAGGCATGAACATATAAAGAGGAGAAGAATGGGTTATGAGTTCCAGGAGGCAATGGGATCTATTCTGCACAAAAGGAGACGGAAAAAGGGGATAGAAAGAAATCAAAAAAGGGGGGAATTTACTTATGTGAGAACAAAGAGGTTCACCACACCCTTTGTTGGCCAAAAACTCATGTCCAAAAAGATATGGCCACATCACATGACACACCTACTGTATTTCAATCATAATGTCTGGGCTGCAGATCCATGAACAATCATAGCAGGGATGAAGAGCACAGAGCGGTTTTATTCAGTCAGTCAGAACAGATTAAAATGAACAGAGCACAGCTAAAGGTGAGTAAGATTGACATGCCGACAGGGAGGCAGACAGACTGGCAATTACACTCCCACAGACACAGACATGTATAGATGGGTGATGTGAGGAAGGCTGGCATGGCAGAGGAAGAGGAGGAAAAAGAGGGAGAGGGAGATAGGTGAAGAGAGCCATGAGGGATATGATATAACAGACAGACAGAGAGATAAATAGATAGACAGACAGACAGATAAATAGACAGACAGACAGACAGACAGACAGATAGATAGATAGATAGATAGATAGATAGATAGATCCGTCGTGCATGCAAATGAGCAGAACTGATCTGCATTAAATTGCAGACTGGCTTGAATTAATTGGAGAATAAATCATTACCTTGTGCCTTGGCGCTCGCGGCCAGCAGGCTTCCTAATAGCAGAATCCACAGGTATGACATCATGGGAACACGGTGTTCTGGCTGCGACTGAACCGGGGCTCACAGTACCTTGCCTTGGCTTTGAAACAAGACAATTAACCTTCCTAGAGGTTTGCAGGTAGATCTGGGAGGGCGTGTGCGTCGGTGTGCCGGTGCGTTCTTGCGCGTCGTATCAGAACCCGGTGGCGTCTCCAAGGTGCTCAGATGCTCGACTCAGCGCGCGCCGCCGCGGATCCGATGCCCTTCCTTTTGTCTGGATTGGAAGAGAGGTCCAGTCTTTATTAAGGTGGGCGGGGCCCCTTTCGCTAGCGAGCAGATAGGGCTGTGGAGGCTTTTACTTCCTTCGCTAATCAGCCGTGTTAAATGCATTGATGTTTGATGACTAATACCAGCAATCATGACAGAAACTCGTTTTTTTGTGTGCCCCAGAAAAGGTTAATTAGTCATCACAGAAACTCCTGACAAAACATCTTCTATCATGCATACAACTCATTTCTGCACAGCTTTGACTGCAGTATAAACTGGGTATCACTTGCTCTGTCATGTTAAGCACTGTGTTGATGAGAACAATCAATCCTATACGGTGAAGATACACCTAAGAGACATCATGACACACTCATTGAAAACGCTCATTGTATTTTCCATTCAAAATGACCAGTTTTCCTATCATTTCAGGAGTCTTAACTGCTTTCTTACTGTCTAATTAGCCAGTGATCTGCTTGGATTTATTTAAACATCAAGTTTATGAGAAATACACTGAATTGCTGCATTAGGGGAAATTTAAGGCTTTGGCCTGATTTTTAATGTTAGATTAATGTTAGGTTTCCATTTGAGAAAACCACACATAAGCTTATATGAGCCAAGCAGTAGGTCGACTTTTTTTCCTTCCCTCGGGCTCTTGTGCCTCTCCTGACCACTTGGTGAAAAGCCACAAATTAAAACGTGTTTACTCTTGTTGACCAGCAGGTGGCGCAGTTTGCTCGCAGCGTCATAATTCACAAATTTAGCTGGTCATTCATAAGTGGTTTCAGGCTTTGGCCAACTCCTCCAGTCTGCAGTTTGCACTATTGCAAGGACTGTATGTGTCGATATATCAGACATGTGATGTCTTATCAAAAATCACTTCAGGAGTGACTCACAATCTTTGACTCATTACCTTCTTTCCCCCCAAGGCACAACTTTTTAACCACAGTTAGTTTCAGAAAAATCACATGTATTAAAAATCTGTTACAGGAATCCATAAGTTAAGGAGTCATCTGACACATCTACAGTTATAGGGAACATTTAAAAAAACAAGCAGTTTCTGTTTTTTGATGACTCATGTATTAAAGAGTGTAACATGCATCAGCACAACACCTCATGACTGCAAACACAGATCCGCCCATCTGATTTCCATCCGCCGTCTCCACAGGTATCATGGAAAAAAACAGGCCATGCATAGGGGTGAGCTCTGTGTTACCTTGACACACATGATTTACACCAACCTGACATTTAGTAAGGGTTTATTAAAAGTCAGTTTCTTTTATCTTCAAGCTACAAAGAAAAAAAATATGCAGGTCACCAATCATATATGAAATGAGTCACAAGCAGCCTGGCTCCATCATCTGTCATCAAGGTGTGAAAACCTGCTTTGTCACATGCTCCTTATACTCACGATCGTTTCTGATTCCTTCTTATAGCGCTCTCAGTAATAAGATGCAATGAAGATGGTGTAAAAAAGAAAATCTTTTATTAGTGTCATAGCACAATGATTACAGTAACATAAAAAACAATCTCTTATTTCATATATAAAGTAAAAACAGACATCAAGCTTTGGTTTTCATTCATTAAGGTGTTAATCTTCTTCTAAAAAAGGCAGATTTTATTCTGAAACGACCTGAACATCTCACTTCATTTCTGCACCACCTTGTCCTCCTCGTGAGAGTATCAGAAAAGAAAGCAATAGTAGCACATGGACTGAGTATAAAGCATGTTTATTCAGCCAGATTTGGAGGATCAGACATATCTGGAGTTAGAAAGAATGACAATTTGGTCATTATGATTTACAAGCATAAACCTGAGGCACACTTAGAACGTGGTTTGATTATTTTATGCTGTGACATTATAGAGACAGAAGCTCTCACTAAACTCATGTGCATTTTAAGGCAAAAGAGCCTGGCAGCTCAGCTATTGGTGTTCATGTCTGTTTCTTATATCAGCACTTATAGTCACACTTGTGGGGGGTAAAGGTTTCTGGAATTAAAGGGTTTAAACCCAAACAATGAAGCCTAGACAAGTGCATCTCTCTCATTGCTCCTGGCATGAAGCAAAAAGTTCAAAATCAATAAACAAACTTCCCCTCTTCAAGATCTGTACCATATAAGTACCCGGTCAAAGGCTCTTTGGTCAGCTATTGATTAATAACAGCATAAAGACTGACTTCATCATGAAGTGTACGACATGAATCAAAGACATACGATGTGATAGGAAGTGGCTTCCTTGAGTGCGTGCAGCCCATCTTCCCCTAGCATTCCTCCTGATTATTTTGCTCGTATTAATCAGATGATGTTTCAGTAACATTCCCAAAGAGGAGGATGTAGTGAATTAAGGATTATAGTCAGCCAAAGATAGCTTCAGCTTGGCTCATAACCCCCTGAAACTGAATGTGGCTGAGCAGAGGCAGACATAGAAATCAAAACTACAGTCGTCTGAATGATTCCCTTTTGTTTCACTGCTACATTTGAGAGGCACAGGGACACCGTTAATAAAGTCTCTGCACAGTCAGTGTGAAATGTTGCCGTCCTTATAACAGTTAAGATGATCATCAACGTAAGAGTGAAATTTATTGTGTTTCAAAGTGAACTATAAGAGGACAAATGTGTTGCAGGGTTTTTCTTGGATGTGCTGCAAACTTTGCAACAAAGGAAAGCATCAACGATTTTGCATTATGAAGGTCAAATCAGCAGAGTCGTATCTAAGCACGATGAGATGGTATTCTAAAGCCATGGACATAATAAAAGGCCATTTCCTGACATAAATATGCACCATGAAAGGACAAAGGAGGTCAAGAATCCTTTACGGTGGCTTGAATTCTAAGAAGCAAACAAAGTAAGGGCAGTATTTGAGCTCCCATTACTGCCTCCATCAGACTGCAGCCCCCACTCTGAACAATCTGTCTGTCTATTGCTTTGGTGCAGGAGTGATCAGCTGGAAAGTGGCTCACATTTTGTTGAAACACTCCTTGGCATTGGACCACACCTGGATTCCCTGTGACAGCAAATGATTGAGAGAAAAACCAGAGTGATTGAGAAAAAGGAAAAAGGAACAAACAAGTCCATTTTCCAGAAAAACAGATGGGGAGCTACAGTCTGCTGAAAATGCCTGGCACAAACAAACAAAAACAAACATACAGACTTCCATACCTTCTTACACATGCTGATCTGCATAATGGCATAGCTGATTAGTGCTTCACGCAAATCATTGTCCTTCTGCTCCTTGAAGCGCTCAATGTCCTCCCAGGCTGTTCGCACAAACTCTCTGCAGGCACAAACACAAACAAAGACACATGATGCTGTGAGCTTTTTTTGAGAGGAAGAGTAGACGTGAGAAGAAGTAAAGAAGGAGAGATGTCTGGAAAAACAATAAAAAAGTTCAGCTGCTCTGTGTTCACTTACGTTCTTATTGCTGCTTTTTCTAGTTGGTCTTTGTTTGACTCTTGGTGCATCTCAACTAACACCATCCAGCAGTTTGTGAGTTAAAAGGATATTCCGGTGTAAAACACCAAGTTAGACACCCCCTTGAGAGATGAATGTTGCCGACTGCTTGCTTCTCTAGTTATACCAACTTCAGCAATGACCGCATGATAGCAATACACAGCGGTCTACATCTCCACACACAAACCTCAACCAAAACACCACTCTATAGCCACTAATAATGCTCAGAACAGCACCTAACTTCATCAACAGTACATAAAGGGTCCCAGCCATAGTACTAGCTGCCAAACATCTTTTTAACTTTGCCTAATTTCTGACGGAAATCTGACAAGTCAATCACTTTGTGCAGCGGAAAATTTACGATTAATACTTCATGGTTATGCAATCAGACCGAGACACTAAGACAAAAGAACTACCATGTCTGTAGTGCACATACAAGATACACAAAAACTCTGATTGCATTTCCATGAAGTAATAATCATAAATTTTTCCACTGCACTAAGTGACCGACTTGTCAGGGCTCCCCCCACAAACAAGCGGCTGCTGGAGGAGAGTGGGTGAGTTGTGTTTAGTCTCTTTGCTAAAGAAACCAGGCAATGCTAAAAAGATGTTTGATGGCTAGTACTGTGGCTGGGACCCTTTATGTACTGTTGATGAAGTTAGGTGCTGTTCTGAGCATTATTTGTGGCTATAGAGTGGCTTTTTGGTCAAGGTTTGTTTATGGCTCCTTAGACCGCTGTGTTTTGCTATCGTGCGTCGTTACTAAAGCTGATTTAACGAGAGAAGCAAGCAGTCAGCAACATTCATCTCTCAAGGGGGTGTCTAACTCAGTGTTATGGTGTGTTTAACCATAACTTAGTTTTATGCTGAAATATCCCTTTAACTTTTCTAATAGTTCAGAGTCAAATTTGTGGAAATCCGTTAATTCATTCTGCTTTAATGTTTTCAATGATTATTCAGTCATAGTACAAATTGAGGGCACACAGTGTGGCCAAAAAACAGACCGCTTACTGTTTTCCCAGACAAAGAAAGGGTTGACCCCGCACAGATCTCAAACAGTGAGTGGGAGACATTTCAAAGACAAACTAATCAGAGAAAGGTGAAGAATTGACTGAGTGGTGTCAAGCTCACTGGCACTCGCTGTTCTTCTCTTTGAGTGCTTGTTCTCCCTCCTGGATACTCTGCTCCAAAGCTGCCAGCTTGCTCTCTCTCTGCTCAGGGCTCTCTTGGCCAAAAAGCTTACTGGTCATCCCCTTCAGTGAGAAGACACGCACCGTCTGCACACAAACATGCAAATTAGAATCGGGCAACAAAAACAGCTCTTCGAATGTGCATGTAAATCTGCAAACAAATTTACTCTGCTTGGTGTTGTTGAACACGATTTTGTCAACTGATGTGAACTCATGTATACAGGTCTGCTACGCAAAAATATCAAACCTGCCAAGATGTCATTTTACTGTCCATAAAACTAAGTTAGATACAATTTTATTAATGAAAACCAGCTCAGACTGTTACTCTTTACAATGACTTCCACATCGAACTTAGAGTGATTATATAACTCTCGAGTAATTATACACCATTAGTGAACTTCTGTTTCGTGATAATGAAACTCGTCTGTTTGGAGGGAAATATTGTACTTCTCACTTCGGCTGGATTTAGCTGTGCAGAGTCAGATTATTATTATTATTATTATAAAGTAGGGCTGAGTGAGTGTAGGAGGTATTTCATGAGTGGATCGTTTGTTGTTGGAGTTTGTTTTCATTGTAAACAGCGGGGGGCCATAAGAACCTGACCAAAGTGCTGTATCAGACATAAAGACACAACATCTTACATAAAACATAAAATTACATTTAAAAACAGATAAAATGATCTCAAAGGCATATAACACGGGGAAAATAATAGCTGTGCAATAAAAGAAACAATAAAAAAGACAAAAATCTAATTAAATGAAATCAAGCCAATGTTTTACTAGGAAACAAAGGCCAAGGAGAAGAGGGGGTTTTAAGAAGAGACTTAAAAACCAGCAGAGAAGAGGCCAGTCTAATGTTTTGAGAGAGACTGTTCCATAGTTTTGGAGCTGCAAATGCACGGTCCCCCCTCAGCTTCAGCTTAGTTTTTGGCACAGTCAGGAACAGCTGATCAGCTGACCTGAGAACGCAAGTGGGTGTATATGGGTGAGGAAGCTCAGAGAGGTATGACGGAGCAAGACCATTTAGAGTTTTAAAAAACAATGAATCCTAAAATGTATGGGCAGCCAGTGAAGTGAGACTAAAATGGGGGAAATGTGGTCGTGTTTACATATGCTGTTAAAAGACATGCAGCAGCATTTTATTTCATCAAAGGTAGCAGGTCTGTCACAGTCACATGATGCAGAAAAAGACATACTGTCCCCATTTGAGTGAAATGCAGTGTAAAACGAAAAATGCATCTCAACTGAGCACTGGACTTCTAGTGGCCCAAGTATAAAACAGCTGGAACCATCAGTGTGTTCACTAACAGTAAATAGTCAAATACTGTTAAATTATGTGTTGACAGCATTGACTATAACATGTCTTTTAACCACTGCAGTAATGATGTATGCATGGACAGTAGTAACATCACAAGACATGTGTCATCATGTGACCTGAAACAGATGGTGCGTCACATGACTATAACCTGTAAATATGTATGTAAAGTCGCTGCTGTCACAGGTACTCTCGCTAACGCCTTGTGGTTGTGGTTACACATGCTGGCCACTAACCCAACCACAGGGGTTCACTTGAAGCTTCTACACCTGCAACACACATGCACAGTGACTTGTCATGAAAATTAGCCGTGATAACTTAAGAGTTGGAGTTTAAGTCAACTGTGGTCATTCAGGAATTTACCATGTCAGTGTCCGAGCCAGAAGGCTGATAACCAATCTGGAGGAGGCGGCAGAAAATAGACTTCAAGTAATAAAAGTGTAGTTGTAATATTGCTATTCTTATTTATAAAACATCCTGCATTTATCTGGTGTTAATAAATGTGTTTTTACATGTCACGTAATATATATTGCAGAAAGGGAAAAAAATAGCAACATCAGCTTTTCCTAGTTTTATGCATAAAACAGAGCAGAGGTCACTCTTTTATGAATAGACCCCCCTGCTGCTGTTAAAATTAGCCCACATTCAGAAGCTACAACATGCAGAAGAATGCATCCTCCTTAGTAAAGTTATTCCACCCTTTAGCCTCCCACTGTGACAGTGGAGCATGTTATTCATATGGAGAGACAGAGGCCAGACTTCTGAATTCAAGTGTGTGTCTGCACCATGAACTCTGTGGGACCTCTGAAAGTATGAATACGGACTTCACAGATTGTCTGCCACACTGAAGCCCTGTGTTAGCTAAATACAAAAACCCGTGGATGGTGCCTGGTCTCGCTTCTTTTATTTGCCAATTTCAATTCATAACAGCATTTGGCGAGTTGCGGGTGCTAAATTTGGACTGTGAGTAAATGAGTATACCACTTGTGTGTTTGCGCAAGCTGTGTAAAAGAAAATGAGAGAATAAAGCCAGCGGGAGTGAGGGTGCTAGTGTGTTACCCCTGTAGCCAACTCTTCTTTCAGTTGTTTCTTGTGTGCCAGATCTTGTGCTGCAATCTCCAACTCGTACTGGATCAACTCATGTTTCCTGCATACAGACCTTCAGACACACACACGCACACACGCACACACACACACACACACAACATAGAAAAATATGAAGATAACTGATAAATATTTAAGTCCAGAACTTGTGCTGTTGAATCCTAATACACATATTTTTATAAAAGATCAACCAGACATGGCACCTCCACTAGTACTCCTAATAAAGTAGACCGCTGCTGAGCTCCATCCTGGCAGATAGGCCTAACAACAGTGCTTCTACTCTGTTCTGCTGAAAGCTACAGATTTGCATCTGCCAGGAAGTATTTGCATTTGCGCTGCTTTATTTTGAATTAAGTTGGAGAAAAACCAAACATATCAAACGACTGCTGTGGATTTTTATTGAACATCCCTAAAAATCTACCTGCAGTAAGATTCACCAAAAATGTCCATCTGAGTGAGTAGTGTGGGAAGAAATGTGATTTTATTTGTACCACTACTCACATCAACTTTGCCTAATCTTTGTCAAATAAGTGGACATGTACTGTTAATATGAGGGATGTTAGGATAGCAACATACAGGATACAATATTAGGAAAACAAGTCTGCAAGACAAGATTCACTGTGATGTTTTCCTGATATTAAAGCTCTGAGAAGCTGCTGAAATCCTCTTATCTGCGTTGTCTGTGCAACTTTAGTCCTCGTCTCTCATATTCGGAAATAAATCAGGCTGTAATGTCATATGCAACATCTATATTATCCTTTTATCCTTCAAGATTCTTACACATCATGTTATTTTATTTAGTTTTGCCTAACAGCTATTTACTCCTTGCACCCTGAACACAAACTGTTATATCACCTTGTCTAGTTAGCGAACTAGTTTTTTTTCTCCTGCTGATTTCAACACACTGGACTCATAATTTTTAATTTTTGGGGATCTCCCTAAAACTTTGAGTGTGATTTTAAAAGCTGCTTTGATTGAATCAAAAGAAAGTAACTCCCCACAGCAGCACCAGTGACCGAAAGGTGACTTCTTTTGTTTGTTTGTTTCAAACCTGAAGATAATTGAAAGTATTTAGTCAAACTTTAGACCGCTTCACTCAAAGCAACCTGCCACCATTACATTTCTTTTTGTGTTATAAAACCGGTTGGTCAGGAGTTACATTTTTATCAGAAACTTTGATAGATTACAGATGTTTGTGGCTTCATTCAAACGGGGTTCTGTCGGTGCAAGGCATAACATCAAGAGATCCAAAGAAATACTGATAAGTATGAACATTCAAGATTTTCAGATTGAAAATGCTGAATTAGATCCTTACAGAACTAGGTTACAGAGTCTGAATCTCCTCTTTAATCTCTTGTCACAGTGAACCCACAGCCCTTAAACACATCCGATTTAAAAGCTGCAGGAGGATCCACAGTTTCAAAATCATTCATTTCTCGAGCTAACGCCAGTTTATTTCCGCTGTACTACACCTAAGGCAGAGTGCAAAGAACAATGGGCACACATAGGACAATGGCCCCTCCACTTCCCTTTTTCCTGCATTAATAGGAAGATCTATTTCAAACTGTCACAGGTCTGTGACAGTATTGGGTCACTTTTGGTCTTGCAATAGTGATTTTAATTATTTGTTCCATCCCTTTAATGTAGAGGAAATAATGAGATGTTTGATCCACTGGTCTTAAAGGTGTCTATCTAAACATCCATCAGCACAGATTAGCAACATCAACATATTATGTATAACCTGGAGGTGTGTACGAACAGCTTTATATGCTTGAAAATTAACGATTACCCATTAATCTGAATTAATTGTCTTCTTCCACTAGCTGACACCTCAACCAATCACTGCAGTTCTTAATTGATTAAGGGTCATAATTTGAGCCTCTAAGTTGTCACTTGGATACACAAAAATCAATGAGGAGCACTGAAGAAGGTTTATTACACCTATGTTTAATACCTTAGTGTCGATTCTAGTTTAGCACATACAATCAAGACTTCTTCTAATCAGCTGTAATTGGGTGTGCTGGCATTAAACACTCATGAGGACATAATGAAAATGAGTATCAAATGGTAATCTACTCTGATGAACTGTCAGCCTTCACGAGAGCATAGGCTTAACTCATTTATACCGCTACTAATCAGACTGTTTACCAATTAGCTTGTTATGCTGTGAAATAAGAGACTCTTTTTCTAAAACAAACACATCTGCTTACCTGACAGCATCTGTGTAGAAAAAATACTCCTTCAGCTGGTCTGCATAATGCTCCTCCTCCTCCAAAATGTCATCTATTGATGCAGCATACCTGCAAACACACAAAGTCACAATCGTAAGAGAACCAAATAAAGATTATGGGAGATCGCGTGAAATTTTATAGTTTGATGATAGTCAATTTAGGCACCAGAAAGCACGTCTAAGTCAAGACTGAGTTCCAGGAATACCACTTACGTGTCCATGTGGTGGCCCGCACTCTGTAGTCCGTCCCCCATCTCTTTTTCTATCGCACTCCACTCACTGATGACACACAAAAAAGAAGGTTAAATACATTTTTGAATATAAAACCAAGCATTTCCATGAATATTTAAACTATCCTATATATATCAAACTGATCTCTCCTTTTCTTTGTAATTATGACAAAATAATACAAGTGGTGGGGAAAACCAAAAGGAAATGCAAACTCATATGTGCTATAGTTTGATTGTGGCAGAAGACATCTAGACTTCCACTGATGACTTGTTTAGTTTAGCCAAAGCTTTCATTTTCTATTTGAAGAGATATAGCCTTGTTATTTCTCACCTGAAGACTCTGCCGTAGTTCCCATGGACCTTGTAAACTCCATACAGCCGGTCTGCTACTCTCTAGTATGGAGAAAATAAATCAGTTATTTTGTTTTATTTGATTTATTTCCCTCAATATTTGTCAGACTGTTCCCTAAACCACTGACTAAACTTAAGCTGACAGTTTACCATAAAGCCTGCTGAATACTTACCGCCCGCACTCTCAGTAACTGAGAAATGACAGTGTTCAGTTCATCACTGTACTGCTTCAGGGCAGTGAATCGCCTAGAGAACACAAGACGAGACACAAATGATCAAAACATACAAAGAATTCGACTAAATCTGAATATTTCAGCCTGTGATGTTGTCATTTATGGCTCTAAAAAACACTTAAAATGCTTTCTTCAACACATTTTGCTACCAGGAACACTGTTTCAATAAAACTACTACAACATGTTCACAACAAAGGGTTACCAATTTGTAATATCTTGAACTTTTTCAGCTCTGTGCTTACTTGTCAGGGTTCTTGACTCTGAACGCAGCACTCAGAGACTTCAGTCTGGAGTCCACCTGGTAGGAAAAATAACAACAATGTTACTTAACCTGTGTACAGCATACATGAGAATCCACAAAAACAGATGTTTAATGTGACTCAATTCGCTGATCATAAAAATGCCAATAAACCTGAACACAGACGGTCTCAGTTAATAACAAATTCCTCTGTAAGCAATCCAGAAAGAGCAGATTTAAATGCAAACCTTGTCTTGAAAGCCAGTCTCCAAAACAGCCTCCCTCCATCCCTTTTCCTGAGGAAAGATGAGTGACACATGACGGACAGGATTATGACCACACTGTGTTAAACTGAGGTGTTCAATGCAACAACATGACACCACAAGAGGCTGCACTGAATTGAGCTCTTCAGTGGAGAAGACAAAAAAACAAATGTGGATTTTTTTCACCCAAAAGATGATTTTTGTGCTTTTTTCACTCATTAGAAAGGATCGATTTAAAGAGACGTACAGGGAAAGAGTGTGGGGTGATGTTCACCGAATAGCACTAGGACTGGGATCCATCCTATGATCAATGCAGTGAGGACTATAACCTTGATACATGGGACGCCTGCTCTACTAGCTGAGCTAAACTGGCAACCCACAAATGTAGAGTTTTGGTTCTGAGGCATATCCAACGGCAACACTGCACCGATTTTTCACTTGGCCTTTCTCAATTTTTCCTCTTTCTTTACTTCCTCTAACCAGTGCAGCCTCTTGTACTGTGGAGGTGTTCAAAACCTGAAATGTGTTAAGAGACTGCGTGTGAGTGTGTGGGAGAGTGTTGGTCCTCAAAGAAGACTCCTGTGTATAACAAGCTGGACTGCTAACCTCTGTCAGAAAGAGGAAGAAGATTTTGTCATTGGAAAGGACAGGATGTGATGCAACTCGCAGCAAGTAGTTTTCCAGACCGACTCGCCGTCGCTCGACAAAGTCTGGGTCCAGGTTGTCTGCTGACAGTTTGTGCCAAACAAACTCTGCCTACAAGAAACAAACTCACAGAGTAAAATGCTGCTATTCACAGCTAATTAATTACACAAGTGATCTTTTTTCATTAGCCATGAGTTTTCTTTAATGTTTGCGTTACTCACCCTTTTCTCTGGTAGTGGAGGGATGATGATATAAGGGTAGGTGACAAGGAGATATGTTCTGAGCAGCTCAAACTCACTGTAGCGTCTCCACAAAGTGTCAGGTGCTGCAGGAGTGCCTCCCTCTGGGACAGTCTCAGCTGGGCTGCAGACAGAAAAGTCCATAAGCTTTATTTGTAGCTATAGAAGTGTTGAGACATTTGAGCATCTTTTCCTGTTTAAGGCATTTAAGATGTTTTAAAAGAACTAAAACTGTTATTGGAATTCAGAGAGGCACTGAAGTACCAACCTAAAAGCGGAGGGTCAAACAAGGCAGTGAGTTAATCTGCAGACTGATTTGCTCTCTGATCCTGTTTGGCTCATTAAAATCACACCAACCTTTGCTCTACCCACTGATGGAGTTGTGCTCCATAAAGGGTGAGGTAATTTCAGGTTATAGTTAAATAAAACTGTAATATACATAAGAAAGCTGCATTATTCTGCAGATCAAACTTGTCAAAAAAGATATTTGTTATTCAGTGAAAAAATATCATACCCATGTTTTTAAAGTGCAGGTAAGGCAGGTGAAAATTATAAGAAAAAGTAATTTCTCCCCTTTCACCTTTTAGCCACTATTCTTCCCCTCAAATAAGTCATTCAGCTCAGCCGAAAACAAATGTGACAACTGCAGTGCAGAAAACTTAACTATTAAAAGATAGATGCAAAGAAGTGTAAATTTTAGAAAAATATGAATAAAAACAAGCAGACACAGAACAGTGTAATTTACAAAATTTTCCATGTAGCTCCATAAAACTTGTTCATTTTTTGAAGTAATGTGTTAGTTTCTTTATTTCATATAGCCCTAACCTTAACCGTATGTCTTGTTTCTGTTATGTTTAAAAAATACAAATAAAATTTAAGTAAAAAAAAAACAAAGAAATGTAAATTTTGAACATAGGTTGGATTTAAAAAGCGACTAATGTCAAAAGGAAACCAAGATATCGCCTGTTTATGACGCACCGTGTTTCTATAAGATAGACTGTGTAGGTTTCCTGCATGTTGACTGTGTTTTTCCCAGTCCTCTTCTCTGCCTCTGCAACATTGATCTCCATTTTTTTCAACAGAGCAGTCCCTCTTTCCACCATCTACACAGACAAGAAAAGTCAATTAGAACAACAAAAACAGTTGATTGCCATGTTTTTAAGACACTGAGGTATGTAAGGAATGACAGAAGATGTCCATGCAGTAGGGGAGAGTGGGGTAAGATGAGCCATTGTTCATATTTCTGATCACTACATCAAGGCAATCACAGTTTTGTCTGTAAGTGCTAAAAAGCTGTTTTGTAAAAAGCCATTTTAACATGAGAATGTCTTTAAGTGATTCAGAACATTCACAGCTGTATTTTTGAAAAGAAACAGTAACACATTTCAACAATCTGAACTGAAACTCTAATCCTCTCATCAGACTCTTTTACTTTCTCAGTTGAACCACTGGATCAACTTACCACAAAACTACTATTACGACTGTATTAGTCCTCTGAGCTAAAATGGTGGACTTTCATGCTAGTTTTTTGACCTCATGTTGTAGCTCATAGATACCATAATTGATGTATAAAACAAACTTAAAATGATCTTTTTTGGTCTGAAAACAATTTTAATAAAACTTGTGCCGGACTCAGACTTCTTTTACCATTTCCAAGCAACAGGGGGTGGCTCAACTTACCCCACTCACCCCTATATGTCAGGTGACCAGACAGGTGCATACAGCATCTCAGAGAGAAAGAAATCCTTAGTGCAAGATGGAGGAGTGGTTTTGATCTATTCTTTAACAGGTTAAACAGCCTGACAGCTGATCACACACAGAAAAGCAGCAGTTTTACTATCAAAGACTCTGTCACAGTCTCAGGGTTATGACAGGCGTGTGCAGGTCACAAGACAAGATACAACTCCTCAAACCACATCAACTTTTACTCATGCACTCAAGTTACTTTCCCTGGAGACTTTCAGAAATGAAACTTGAACTTTTTACCCATTAGGACGACAGTGTTCACTTCAAACAAAGCAAAACTTTGAACTTTGTGTTTAGAGCTGCTAGCTAACAAGCTAACGTCAGAAGTAAAGTTTACACAGTAGCTCCAGGCTGTTAGCAAAAACAAGTTCAGCTAACTTGGTCATTTCAAAGTTTCAGTGCAGAACAGGGAGCTTCATACAGACATCAAACTGAAGTTTCCACAGTACTACAACATCTCTGTAAAGGTGAGAGAAAAATCTCCGTTTGTCAGTGATACACTTACTCCACCTTAAGTAAAAGCTAACATTACGACGGCCTGTGAGGGAAAGTTTCCTCCGTTAAAGCTGTCTTTTAAACCCCACCGCTATGTGTTATAGATGAAAACAAAAGGTACGACCGTGTTTATTATGTTGTTTTCGGATTCCGTAGATGTAATGTCGGTGTTACCGATCACAGCTACTTCTTCGTTACTTCCAGAGTCTGCCATCATGATTTGGCTGCAGAGGTGCTGCTGTTGTCAGCTGAGCTGGCAGGGGAGCAGGCGCCTTTGCTCTGCTCTGCGCATGCGCGGTTCAGACTAAACCCATGGACTAGGAACATGTACACAAAAGTAGCCTAAATGAATAATATTTGATCAGTGTTGAATAAAATGTTAAATAAATTAATTATAAAAGGATTAAATAAGGACACCAATTAAAGGGGTTATAAACATACACTTAGCAATAAAACCATGAGTATCTCCAAATTAGTAAAAGTAGGCCATTTATAATTCAACAAAAAGCAGAACTTCAAATGCAGCAACAAAGACTGAGAACTTGAGCTCTACAAAATGTTTACCATTATAACTGACTCTTTGGAGTGTAGAATGAAGTGTTACAATAATTACAGCATCATTAGAAAATAGGTCTGTCATTGTGTTACTGTGGCAAAGAGCAGGATGATGGCACAAACTTGTCCACATTTTTCAGTTTCCATCCAGCTGCTCTGGTAAAGTGAACCCAGTCCCCTCTATTTGCATGGTTTGCGGGTTTCTTTAAAACGTGTCTTTAACAAGACTGACATCTAGTGGCAAGATTTTAGACTTGTTTATTTCCATTTTGCCCCAAGGAACTGTACTGTGCCTTACATTGTTTTATTTCTGAATTACATGGCAAAATAAGGAAAACTTATTCAGTAATGGTATAACACTTATCTATTCATGTTAAAATGTTTGAGTGTGAATGTTTGAGTGTTGCTAAAACACAAGACACTGTGATACAAACTTATGTTTCCTCCTTTGATGCTCTTAGATACTGAGATAATATTTAAGATAATGATTACTTGGGCTTTTATAGATGAATAAATGTGGGACAGCATCCTGCACATTTGAGAAATAATGAAACAATACAAACCTACATGCAGATTCCTGTCTAATGATGAAAGTAAAAGAGGTTCCATAACTGATTAATTTCCTCTTGTTGTTGACATCTTTTGGCCCCTTTCTCACTGGTTGTATGGTTGTGGGTCCAGATGTTAATGAGAGGGATGCGGTTTGCCTTAGGCTAGTAAACAGCACAGAAACACGGCCTTTTAGTTCCTGTGGTCACGCTGTTGTGCAGCGTTTAATGTTTAAAGAGAAGGGTGGAGCAGCATTTAGTAAGGGAGCATTTTATATAGATGCCACTGGGCATGGAGAGAGCTGCTGTGAACAGAAAAAAAAGAGAAAAAGAGGGATACGCAAAAGAATGAATACAAGGAGAAATGTTTTCAAGTTTAGATGATCTAACAAATCAATTAACTAACTGTTAATTGATCAGTGTCACACATGCAGAGAGTATAGGGAGATGAATGGAGTGATGGTGGGATGTGGTTTACAGCTTAAGCGTGTCAGGAAACCCAAAGCCTGTGCTGGGACCAGCTATAGTCACAGCAACAGCATAGTTACCATTCTTTCCCGCCACTGACCTCAGACCAGCCACCACCACTTCCTGTCCACACATAAGGGCACGCAGACATACACATATGTGCACACACACACCTCCAGCCCTATTTGGTCGTCTGTAATTGTCTATTTCACAACTTTTTTGGAGCCTCAGACAAACAGTTTTAACACCAAACGCAGTTATGTACAGTGTGTATGTCTGTTTGTGTGTTTGTTCCTGTCTTGTCTATATTTGGAAGTTCTGACCTAAAAAGTCGCTAAGTGACTTTAAATAAGTGTTTGTGTACCAACTTCTTAGCCACAATATTTATGGCAAAGCGCTTGTGGAACAACAGGAATAAAAGAAAAGTTATGCAACTAATTGTTTTTATATGGCATTGCCAAAAATAAAAAGGAGGATATTATTTTTAATTGTTGATATTTCAAAGATAACTTGTTCAGTTTCAGGTTCTTGTCCTGAAAAGTCTCTTAGTTCAAGGGTCCATTTGACCATTTTATTGGTTGTTTAAATGTATTCATAACTTCCTTTGTGCACCCTTTGGTCAGAGGAAAATATCATTGCAACTGTTTAAGTTTGTTGAACAGCAGAGGGAAGCAAAAAGCAGAGTAAGGACAACATGTGGCATGTCAGTATGACAGAGAGAGTCAGTGTAACACTGAGCACTCCACAGTGGATTTGAGTTTGGTGTAATATGAGTATATACATGTGTTTCACAGCAGGAACATTGTGACATGGCTTTGTTTCACTTGAAACATTATACAGTATATGTGAGAAAGTCCTGAAATGACACAACTACCTGGAATCCACTATTGTTTTCTTTTTTATGATTTAAAGCTCCTGTGAGCATCTTTAACTTTGTGTCAGTATTTGCACCCTCTGTATGCGTAAGCAACCAAAATTTCATTCCGCGGTCCTAAACATGTCAAATGTCTTACCCATCAAGAGTTTTTGCTGCAGAGGCCATCAAAAAACAACAACAGCATGCTTTCAATCTCTTCCACTAACACCTCCCCCCAGACAGAGCTATCAGACATTAAGAATAAACACAGGTCAGTCTTTGTATTGATGGTAGTTTTTGTTTCTGTAACTTGCTAAATTTGAGGCATCAGTATCTTTTTGAGCCGATTCCAAAACTCCTCACAATAGCTTTAAACTTTTGTTTTTCATTCAAAGCTCCTGTAAGGAACTTTTAATTTGTCTAAATGTTGGCGCCCCCTGTGGACAAAGCAGTCTTTGCTAATCTTACCATCTGTATGATTAAGTAGTGTCTCCTGAAAAAAAAATGTCATCCTGCTAACTTTGTGAATATGTAGACATTTTTAAAAACAAGGCCAGTTCTTCAGCTGCTCATCTGACACCTATACTCCTCACATTCATTTGAGGCCTTGATAATTATTTTTTGATAATTATCATCTACTTAAGAGAAATCTGTAATAATTTTACTGTTGCACTGCACTACTGGCTATGTTGTCAAACTATTGCACTGATAACACAAGTATTCAGAATGTAAATGTTTTTAAAGACCCACTCCAATGAAAATCATGTTTTTCTTGTTGTCCACATGTTCATGTGGCATTTTTCTGATACTAGAGGACATATAATGAGAAAAGTAAATGTAAAATTGCATTTCTGAGTATTTCTGCATTCAAATCACTGTGAATCCCTGGCAGACCCAAACAGCAGGATCAGATACAGCAACATTTTCTAAATCCAAGCTCCGCCTCCAGAGCCCCACTTTGCAGGCCAGGCTCGGAGAAATAGAGAGGACAATTGCAGAACAAGCGTCTAGGTTAGGATTGCAATGCTCATAAGAAAGCTAATTATGATATGAGCTTTCATCATGTCCATAAAGACATTAGTGTCCGAGAGTTGAATAGCTCCTATGTTACCTGCCACTTCTTCTAAACCGGTAATGTTAGGCTGTAAGCTAACTCGGGAAGGAGTGTGCAGAGCAGCGCTGTCTCTGCCCACGACTCAAAAGCAAATTGCTAACGAGCTACTGGAGCGCTGCAGAAGAAAAGCCCTTGAAAATGACATAGGTAACATGATTTTGGCTAAAAACTTAATAATCACAATCAAAAGACCACTGACAGCACTTTAAGTAGTAAAAAAAAACAATCGGAGTGGGACTTTAACTTAAAAAACTTGGCTAAATAGCTAAATAAACTTGGATGTAAAGCAGGAGCATCTCCACACTGAAGACTCAACCCATGGCCTTTACAGTCCTCACCTAAACAATGAACTGACAACCCCGGACTATTTTCACCAACACATCTGAAACTCTTTATAGTCTAACATCGGCTTGTACTTTTTTATTTCTTTAATCACAGGTACAACTATTATTAAATAAAATTGGAGGTCTCTGACAAACAAAAGAAAAAAAAAACTTCTTACCAAGTTATCACATCCTCTCATTCCTCAATCAACATCTCTTTCAGAGGGCTAGATAAACTCAGCAACAAGTTAGGGGTTACCCATTACTAGACAGAAAATTCCTCATAGGAGCCTGTATGAGTAAATACATTCAATAGTTAAAATTATAACAGAACTAGTTTTTTTTTGGTCAGGAAAAATACAAATACCTGACAAAGTTTACAAAGTAATGAGGAGTTATTGGGTTCACCGTTGTCATAATAAACACAAACCAAAAGCTCCTCAAAGGAACTTTAAACAGCATAATAAAATCAACAGGTCTGCTGTTATATTACAGCACTGACATAACAAGTCCTAAAACTGATCTAATCACATGTTTTCTATAATAAATTGATTTCCCTTTTTAACAAATCAAACAAATGGATCTGGAAGTTGTGTATGATCACAATATGACTATTAATGCTTCACTAATATGATTTCTGTCACTCAAAGTTTTAAAAGGTCTAACTTGTGTGTGTCAGCGTCTGTGCCAGCTGTACACAGGCTGGTCACGAAGGTCATAAAGAGGAAGTCCTTGTGGTCAGTGGAAGGGAACACATGTTTTGCTTCATGTCTTATTCTCCGTCCTTCAATTTCTTCTCATTCATCTTTCTATTCTTGATTTGATGGTGGTGAAAAAGTCAAGCAGTGTGTCCACCAAGCCTATATTTGAGTGGGTCAGCCTGTATGGTAAACGCATGAGTATGAAATGTCTTGAAATGTCTTAATGAAGTGAAGCTTTACCAGGACTGTATTAAGTCATCTCTCTACTTTTAGATAATGCCAATCAGAAATTGTCTAACAGAGAGTGAATGTAAAGAAATCAGTCTGTTTGAGATGGTAAAGGAAGCCATGCCTGTCTTTTTGGACTTAATTTTTATTGCCCTAGAACTTCTATTTCTAGCTCATTTAACATAAGAATTCATTGTAAGATTATATTTCTAACCAACATTTGTAAAAATGTAGTATCTCTAGCCAAAGAGCATCATTGCTAGTTTTTTAAATAATTAAATTGGATGAAACCCCTGTAAAACATTTCATTCTAATGATATTTTAGGTATGTTGTATTCAAGAGACACATTTAGGGTGGGTTGCATGTGTAAAGTGATTATACATCCATGTTCACACAACACTGATATAAATGCAAACACTAGCTTAAGAGCAAATACGTCTGTTGCCTTGTCTACTGTCATGTTATCAACATGACACTGTGGCTTTGCAGAG